ATCCATTGTTTCCAATGGATTGTTTCACTGAATTCCCAATTTGTAGTTTCGTAAGAAAGATCCAAGAACTGTACCGAACTGTAGCACGAGCTCGTACTACGTATTCATACACGTGCACTCTTGCAACAACCGACAAAACAATAATAAATGCATAAATTAAGCACATTTCACATATTTGATTATTAGAGTGCAATATGCGGTAAGACAGACGAAGCGAGGGTAATAAACGTGCACGCATAAGCATATACACAGGTTTCCAGTCATTTAGATTAAGAGAAAAGAGATTGCATTTAGATGTTTTGCATGGCTTAACACGATCCATATCGCCGCACTCACTAACTTATATAAATACAATAGATGAGCAATATGGAGAAGAAGAAAAAGAATGAGGTAGAATAGTATACAAAAGACATGCACTCGACGATTTCAAAGTGGATTCAATATAAACTGTGTGTTTAATGGCATTCGACTTACAAAAAAAAAAACTTATAAATATTCACAGTTCGGTTGCTTTATTGAGTATAATGTACGGAAATCGTCATATTTAGAGATAGAAAAAAAGAAGATGAAAATTTGTCATGCAAAGCTGAACACGGCAGCGTCAATTTTCTTTGCTCATTTCTGACGAAAAAAACAACAACACATCAAAATGGTAATGATCTATTAAGAAAGGGTTCCAATTTCTGGAAACTTCTGAACGAATTGATGATAGCGTTCATGTAAACATGAACTCTCTGATAAATGAAACTTTTAAAAATCATTTATGATAGCCCAAAAAAGTCAAATGGTTCGACTCAAATCCTGTCAAATAGAACATGTATTTGTGCATAATGATTGATGGCTTTAAATTGGCAGTGAAAGCGCGCACACATCAAAAATCAGTGATTTTATCTCAAAAATGCCGGGGTGGATGGTAGTCAATGTGAAACTCAGAACAACAAGCATTCATAAATCATGAACCACTTTTTCGGTAATGGTGAAAGTTTTAACATGACTTATCAAGCCATTCAATTTTTCACCTATTTCTTTTCTCTGCTGTGTACACGACACACAACAGAAAAGAATGAAAACTTTCCCCACGGGCCAAGTATGGAAAAAATGCAACCGGTGCGCTATTGTCTGAGCAAGCATTTTAAAAACTTGAACGAAATTAAATGAATAAAACATTTCCAAAGTGAAATGGAATAGGAAAAATTGGCCAAGATGAAAGTGTGCAGCAAATGGCGAGTCATCGTCATCATCGTCGTCTTCGTCACATGACAGACAAAAAACGGAAATCAATTTCACAAGAAGGAGCACTTGACACTGATTTCATTGTTAATTAATTTAGCTGATTGCAGCCGTTTCCCATCATAACGTGAACCATTCACTTCAGTCTTGTGTCTCAGGAGAGAAAATATCGATTTGTCGTCAGCATTCAGTTGTAAAGTTGTGCAATGAGGAATCAACATGGAACACTGGAATACGGATTCGATACAAATGATCGAAATTGGAACTATGGGAAGAAAAAGATATAAAAAGTCCAAGAAGTCGTTTCTTAAGCAGAATTATCGTTAAAGAATCAAACCTATTCATGAAGCAACAAAGAAATGCATCGCACGCTCGACAATGTTTACTCTTCGAATGTTAAATGGTGAACGCGTCAAGTTGCAACGAGTGTTAAGTAAATGTGTGCATTAACAAGCACGAACTTTGTTGTTGATTTGAATCGGCCGTTTCTGCAGAAAAATCAAATGATTTATGGTCTTAACAATTGCACTCGAACGATTTTGCCTGGGCGGCTATTGTGTGCTTTCACTGGACAGTGTGAGCTCACGCTTGTGTGTGTGCGCGCGCGCGCAATTTTAAACACGCGCAACAACTATGGAATGTCATAAAGTAGGAATATTATGAGGCAGAATTCATTCTTGAAGCTGAAAAAAGCCGCTCATATAAATCATACCATCATCATTATCATTACGAACACGTGCTCACACTCCTTTTTTACGACGGTCGATCATATTATTTGTTCTATGAATGATTTTACTGCATATGCTTTCAATGAAGAAAAAAAATGTTGATTTAAGCTCATAGAGCAAATGGCTCTACATATTGTGCACACGAACTGTGACTACTTTGCCATATTTATTTTGTTGCTTCAAGACAAATTGTCGTAAAGCTATTATGTGTGTATGTCAGCAGCGGATTAATGGGATTTTGCGAATAAAAGGCGCTCAGCAATCGGAAATCAAATCACTATCAATGATTGATAATAATATGCATCGAGATATTGGTCATCGTCTATCGTTTATCGGTGTCGTTGATTTTTTGAATGAATGAACGAATGAATGTTGAATGAATTCTATTAATAGCCTAAATCAGAAGGCGAACAATGAACTCTGAGAACGAGTTAATTTAATGCGAAATTAATTTGATGATATTTTTACGTAAATTTTGCCACTGGTGTACAGAGAAAGAGAATGCTCGTCATCAATGGTTTGAAAAGTTGGACGGAAACGTGGTTTTGCAGTAAACGGTAGAATTCATGTTCCGTGATTCCGATTCAGAGTTCTTCCATCAGCGACTCGATTATTTTGCGGATGCAATAGCAAAGTTAAAAAAAAGAAAATTTATTTCGCAAGCAATTCCCCAAGCTACGAGCCGGTACATTCGGCGCATTACTTTCATTATCCCTTCACGACAAGTGAGAGCGAGCGATGTGATGACAGCGTGCATTGAGGAAATGATAACGGATCGCTAGTCACAGGGGTATTCGTAACGTTGTTTATTGAAGTGTTTATAAATGTGTTTATGTTGCCGCGTGCATGCGTGTGTATGTGCGTTTCAAGCGTGTTAATCGACCAAGAATCAGTTGGTTTTTCTTTAAAGCATCGTATGGGCTTCGTTTCTTCATTTCCTCGACATAACAACATGATATTCTATCGTACATATGGTACATGGCCTGTCTCTGCGTCAACTGAAAGTCTCATATATTCGGAAAAAAAATCAAGTAATGATGTTAGTGAAAGTAAACCATGAACAAGAGAGAAAGAGAGAGAGAGAGAGATGAAAAAACACACACCACTCCATTTCATTTAAAAACATAAATTTCTTCGGCGTATTCATTTCATTGTAGGCACATTTCCTTTGATTTAGTGACTCGTTTCCACCTTCTGCATTTGAATAAATGACTTCGTTCAGTATTACATTTCCCTTCATTATACTCGACTGCTGTCGCTGTGCCATTTACGTTCTTTCTTGTAAAATGTGCGTTTTTCTCACTGCGCACTCTTTCTTTTTTTGCTCTTGTGTGTACGTATGTGTCTTGCCTTTGCCAATTTTCCCAGTTTTTTTGCCTTCTTTCTTTTCGCGTGCGCACACACTTGTTATTATTCAAATAACAACGACGATGAGAAAATTTACATCAATTTTTCATCGCTTCTTCTTTTTGAGCTCTAGCCGTTTGCTGGCAAGAAAAACAGTGTTCAAATAAATTTGATTGATGTAATGATTAAAATAACGAGTGTTTTTTTCCCTACTTTTTTTTCGAAATGTGTGGCTGTGGTTTGTGTTTTGCTATCAGGTTGCTTGATAGACACCATGTAAAGATGCGTAAACGCACAAAGAACCAAGTGAGAAGTTATATATAAAAAAAAACAAATAAAAAATCATCATTTGTTCGTGACGATGGAAAGAAAATCACATTTTGTAGGCTTTGAAAAGCCTTCACATGCGAAATATTTACATAATTTCACACGAAGCCATTTTATTTTCGATTTCATTCGTTGTGATGATCATAAGCGTATCGCTTTTCGGAATTGTATTCATTTTTGCATACTTCCGATTTGTGTGTCGGGAAAAGAGTTGGCCAAGTTCTGGCAATAAATTTCCGAGAAAAACGAATCAGTCGCAATTTGACATGCGTCGGTTTTCAATTTCACCAAAGATCAATTTACATGTATTGCAATGGCGAATCAAATATATCAATTTGTTTCACACAAATTTATGAATTTACGATTTGAAATCAGAGTGCAAATGGATTGTCACTAGGCTATCTATAAGCCCTAAATTTGCATAATTTATATCATTTTTCTTGGAACCAATTTCCAGACATTTTGAATCCATTCCAATTATATGCTTCGTGTTTTCCTGATTAATTCATTGCATATATGATAAAATTTACTAATTGGTTGCCAAATGGGTGAACATCTACTGCACAGATGATGTCAGACTCAAGTCTGTACTTACGAAAAATCATTTCGGTAGCTGTTTTTTCAATATTTTTATTTTGCACGTTTTTAAATTTGTTATCATTTGTTTTTCATAACTAGAAATAAAGAATGAAAAAAAAACCTTTTCCGTCAATTTGAACTCTGCAATTAGCAAAGCAACAATTTATTTTTATCTTCATCAAAATGGATGAGGGAAACATGAAAACAAAAAGTACTCGCTGAACTGAGTGTTCAGGAAGTGGAATATTTTGAGTGTTTATTCATAGACTTTATGTGCCATTTTAATTGACTGCACATTTATAGTTCATTTTGGGAAAGTACAAGCCGTCGTTGACAATTATTTTTGCCCATCAATTTGCCTTCGAAACTCCAGACTGCCCTTAATTTTGACAATGAAACTCGACAATGCAGACGATTTTAACAGTGTGAAGTGTAAAGTGTGGACCGAAGAGCATTTCATAGATTTTAAATGATGCATATGTTTTGCCGATACTGTACGTTACGTATCACCATTGAGCACATACCAAACTGGTGGAGTAAAATGTGTACAAAAGGTGTTTGCCTTAAATGTGTCTATTCGAAACATTAGCGCTGGCTATTCGACCTATTTCAATACCATATACATTACCATTTCCCTTGGTCATACATCCGAATGTTATATTGATGCTGTTTCCAAATGCTGTTCATTCCCCATTTTCGAGCGTCAATAAAACTACAATGTAATTGTCATTGTTGGCATTGCCAAACGAAATCTGAAACTTTTCATTGCAAATAAAACACATCAATGGGTACGGTACTATTTTACTCCGTATATGGAGTGTTTGGAGGTTTTTCTTTCATTACATTTATCTTACTTATCTCTACCAGTAGCATGAACATTAAATTAACTTTGTATAAATATCGGAACAACCGCTAATGCGATTTTCGTTCGAAATTCTGTTTGGCCATTTGCTTTAAGTGGCGTGACGTTGTGAATCCAGTTTCATCTACTAATTTCGTTAAAAATCCGTCCGGATTTTCGAGTAGGCGATGTGCATGATCAAATTCAACGGCAACACCACCATCCACCACAAGCACCCGGTCACTGATTGTCATGGAAGTGAAACGGATTGATTTAGAAATAAAATCGAAAATGTGATAAGGCATTTTATATAGTCACCTGTCCATAACTGTGTGCAGACGATGTGCAATCGTCAAAACGGTGTAGTCGGCGAATTTTTCGCGTATGGTTTTCTGTATGAATTTATCCGTATGATGGTCAACATTAGCTGTTGCCTCGTCCAAAATCAATATCTTATTTTTGCGCAAAATGGCACGCGCCAAACACACAAGACCACGTTGTCCGCAACTGAAGTTCGATGCATTGTCATGCACCTTACAGTCCAGACCTTTCGGCAGTGCACTAACGGCTGCTCGCAAATCGACCTGCAAACAAAATGATGATAAGATCAAAACGAACAAAACAAACAGAAAACGAAAATTCGTCAAATCAAACTGAAACTGACCTGATCAAGTGCTCTCCAAAGTTCATCATCGCTTTTCTCGTGGAATGGATCAAGATTATCGCGCATCGTGCCCGAAAATAGAATTGATTCTTGCGGTATAATGGAAATATTTTTGCGTAAATGATACAGCGGCACGGTTGATATGTCGACATCGTCAATTTTGATGACACCTTCGTTATGGGCCAACCGGAAAATGGCCTGGATTATGGAACTTTTACCTGCGCCCGTTCGACCGCAGATACCAATTTTTTCACCCGATTTTATTCTAAGATTCAATGATTTGAGTATTCGATGGCTGTCTTCGGAGTACTTCAAAGATAAATCTTTGAACACGATTTCGCCTTTCTTTGCCCAATTGCTAAAGTTTGGTGTTTTTTCGTCGGGTTTCGGTTCGATTTTCGAATCTTTTTCTGGTTTTAAGTTGATGTATTCCATGACGCGTTCAACAGACGTCATATAATTCTCAAGTTCGGCCGTTTGCCGTATGCCCCATTGAATAGTGGTAATCAAATTTAGAATTTGAGTTATGGCCAGTCCAACATTAGCACCAATTATCTCTAGAATATGAAGAGATAAATTAATAAACAATTTCCGTCATTGAATTTTTCTATCTATGGAATTGTACCGTTTTTAAACACAAAGAATATTGTTAGCACAATCATCATGTACAGTACACAGACGAGCTCCAGCCACAGTGCCAATGCACGCGACGTTGAATTGAATAGGTAACACACCGCAGTATTGCCATCTTGTAGTGCATTGAATTCCTTAATGATGATTTCATTTGATTTGTACGATCGTATCGTTGTGAGACCACTTATTGTGGCGTTTGTATGTGAAAATATCGGACTTCGACCTATTGAATAAGGAAATGGAAATTGTAGAAAACTTTTTTCTTCTCCCATTTGAATGGTAAGTCAATTTCTGGTCATTACCCATTGATTCCATGCGTTTGAGGCACCTTGCTGTTCGCACATAAATGTGTCGTAAACCAAGGAATATGAGACTCATAATGGCCGTGGGTATCGCCAACCAATAGTTCGTCATCAATACCAGACTCAATGACGTTGTTACTTGTAGTATAAACTGTGAACAATCGAATTGATATTTCTCGTTACTGGGCTATTTTTGTATTTTCTTCTTCTTACAACTTACCAATATGGAATCATAGAGAACGCCAGGTAAATAGTAATCGATATCATTCATGTCCTTCGAAAATCGATTGATTATTCGACCGGACGAATTTTTATTGAAAAAATACATTTGGGCATGTGTTACGCTGTTGAAGAGTTTTTCATGGATACGACGCGATGCCTTCAAACAGAAATAGAACAATGCCAATGCACGTTGAAACACTAAATATAAAACGACTACTATTAGGATCGTGTAAATGTATAAATATTGAAGTCTTTCGGGATCCACTTCTGAATCTATGTCATAGAATATGGCACGCCTCAGCATTCGCCAAAAGTTTTTGGTGCGCTCAGTCTCCCATTTTACCCTGAAAAGCGAGAAAGATTAGTATTAGTATAATGTATAAGGTTATGTGCCGAGTCATGAATTCAAATTGAATGGACATGGATTAAATCTATTCCATTTCAAGTATAAACGACTTTAATCACCAAAACTCACCATTTCGAAACGAACAGGTCAACACCGCTAACTGCTATTTGACCGGTTATCACTAATAATATCACGCTAAGTACTAAACATAAATTTTCTACAGAGCTAAAGTAAGATTTGTACACTTTGAATCCAACCGAACCGATGTGTTGCATTTCTTTGCGACTTTCTAATTGTCTTGAAAATGCTTCATTCGCTTTCATTGCTTCATCCTCCTGAAAGAGAGCATAGTATTTTGTCATTCATTGTTGTCTGGGTGCGGCTTTTCAATTGTTGCTGAATTCATCAATCAAACAATTGATATGGGAACCCAAAATATTTACCTCATCCGATAGTTTGTCATCGTCTAATTCGTCATTTTCAACGGTCAATCGCCGGAATGATTGATAATGCACATTTTCGATACGTGCATGTTTGCCTTGCACTTGAACTCTGCCCATATCCATTAAAACGATATGATTCGATGCTTTCAGATATTGTTCCTGATGTGTGACTAAAATGCATATTTTATCTTTAAGAAATTCTTTGATGCAATTATCAAAAATATGTTTTCCAACTACTGAATCCACGGCCGACAATGGATCGTCTAGCAGGTAAATATCAGCATGTCGATAAATTGCTCTGGCCAAGCTAACTCTTGCCTTTTGTCCACCACTCAAACTAATGCCACGTTCGCCGACAATCGTTAGATCGGCATACGGTAGCAATTCCAAATCTCGCTCGAGTGCACACACTTGAATCACTTGTCGGTATCGATTTTCATTATAATCTTCTGTGAAAAGAATGTTTTGCCGCACGCTTGCTTCAAATAGCCATGGTTCTTGTGCTGAATAGCTGACAACACCGCACACACTGAGTTCACCCTTATCAATTTCCAACTCATGCAATATCGTATGCAAAATGGTCGATTTGCCACTGCCCACGGGACCGATGATCGCACAAAATTGATTCCCTTTGATTTCAAAGCTAACGTCCTCAATTCCGGACTGCGAATTGGCCCACATTGCTGTGACATTGTTGAAAATGACACATTTCTCTTGAGCACTCTCGTCGATTCGTACGATTTTCGGTGCTGGTTTTTTGAAACCATTGACTATGACATCAGGTACGGATTCCACATTCGGAAATCCATTAGATTTTTTCGATTTTTTCGATTTTTGTGACTGCTGTTTCTGCTGTTGCTTCTGTATTTGCTGTTTATTGTACAGATCTTTGTCTTCGGGCAACAAAAGAAAATCCTCGATACGCTTCATTGAAACGAAACACTCGGATATCGTTGCCAATGCCACTGTCCAAAAATAGAGCATCGAATCGTACAGGAAATTGAAATACGAAGTCACAACGAAGACTTGTCGCGAGGTAAACACATTGCCGCAATAAACGAATGTAATTAGACTCAAAAATATCGATATTCGCGAAATAATATTAAAACTCAACAGAATGCCACGTATCACAAACAGACTACGGAGTGTCTTCAGTTCTTTACTGCAAAATTGGAAAATTTATGATTAGAATGCGAAAATGAGACAATCATAATAGCTAAGTAAGAAAAAATAGCATCAAATATGATCACTGAAATTACCTTCTGATTCTATCGACAAATTGCCCAAACGGTTTTTCCCACGCATAAATTTTAATTGTTTGAATGCCTTGAATAATTTCATTCATAATTCGAATGCGAGAATCCGTGTGACCGACCAGATGATATCGGTAATTAGCCGTCATTTTCCCCATATAAACTGAAACCAAACGGTTTGTTAATTAACAATGCAGCGCATCGAATCGGATCGGATCAAAGCCGGTATTTTCAATTCAAATTAATCTCACTTACTCTGAATAGGCACGAAGCACAAAATAAATCCGACACCGATCCATCCATAGTAGCCGAGTTCACGGTAGAGAAAATAACCGAAAACTATCACTTCAATGGGTCCTTTCCACAAATAGTGCATTAAAGTTATCGCATTGTCGAAGCGATATGTATCAAACGACATGATATTTATCGCTAAACCGTTGAGTCCATTCACCGATACGGATTTCGATATTTTCAGCACCTATATTTGGGATGATCGAAGCGTTTGTTATCACCGAAAAGAGATTATATTATTTCATCGAAATCAACAGAATAAACATCGAATCGCCTTAATTTCGTCTACTCTTTTTTTTAGTTTTTTTTATAAATTTTCTTCTAAATAAAAACCAACTTGATAAAAACGGTTTGGCTATTTTTGTTCAAATGACTGAATTGATTGGATTTATTGATAAAAACCGGTATTGACATATCAGTATGTTCTGTTTGATTATAACGGGTTTATTCGAAGAAAAATCAATATTTCGTCGAGCCGTATTGTAGCTTGAATTACCTTTCTGTAGACTAATGATGTGCAAATAACACGAATTTGCATGCCCATTTGATACGCATAAAGGTTGAATGGATTTGTGAAAGCCGTTGACACAAAAGCGCATGAAGTCAAACCAACAGCATACCAAATGGCCCATTGCTGTTGCTGGCTGCTGTCCGAATGTGTGGAGAAATATGTCAGCAAACCACCTAAGCATTGTGCTTGAGCAGCTCTGTGAGAATAGAAATCGATTTTTATTTAGATTGTGTATCATTTTGTGTGATGTGAAGAGTCAATCAGTGGGAGGAAAAGAAGGAAAAAAACGAGAAAACGTTAATGTGACTCATGTGTTCAAATTCCTAAAAACTAATCTTTTTAAAGAAAAATTACCTTGATATTATGTCAACAGCTGAATATAAAATACTGAGACCAATAATTTTGTTTATGTAAACTTTACGGATAACATTAAAAATATGTGGTCGTTTGTGACTCTTCTCTTCTTCCCAAAGTTCGTTGAATTTGTCCGTTATCCGGGCTGAATCATGTTGTGTAAGGTTTTTATAAAGATCCTCTGTGTCAAGTGGCTTTTTAAGGCCCAATTTGAACAAGTCTTTCAACCACCTGAAAATGGGAAAATAAATTTTTTGTTTGTTTCATTTTCACTGTCATACGTTTTCGATTCAATCGGAGATTGAGACAAATGTCACTCTGCAAATAAGCATGAAATTTCCTGCTCAAAATTGACAGCACACACAATCGGCAACATTGTTTTCAATCGTATTGAAAATGCAAGTGGATTACTAGCAACAGGTTCACATGTGTTGAGCACCCCGCCATGCTTATCACATCGAGATCTATCTCGTTGTGTCTTTGTCACAGACTCACACACACAACGAGAGAGACACATTTCTCGAACAATCCAAATTTATTGATCATATCCGAAACATTCTTTCGGCTCGTGTACATTGTAATCACGATTGAACGTCTAGCAATCAGCAAATGTGAGCAAAAATAAATTTTGATCATATTTGAACGTGAGAAAGAATAGAAAAAAAACCCGAATGCGGTTAATTTACCAAAATGTCCAACGTTTAAAAAACCATGCGCTTTCGTAGGGATTTTTTTGCCTCTCGAGCTCTTGCATATCCACATTCATAGTTTCTTCTCAAATGTTTATAACTTTCAAACTGGATTACTACACAATTATTTGTTCAAATCATACGAAACACCGTCACTTTTTATCTTACACACGGGGAACAAACAAGAAACAGTGCAATGCACTCGCACAACGCACAGACGCACCTACAATAACCCACGTTTGATAAAATGTCAAATATTAACTCGATTCTTTCTTCTTTTTTTCTTCTTCTTCAAAATTGTTCAGAACACAAATTCACTAAAAAAATCATACGAATAACAATCGACAACCGACTCGGACTGTGTCTGCTGTACGAATGAAAAATAAAACCATATCAAACAAAAATGATTAGCTTCTGTGATTTTCGTATCGATTGCTGTCGAAAATCAAGAGTCGCTTTAAAATTCCAGTTGGTATAAATGTTGAATCGCCACACAGCGAACGCAAAACATTCAAAATTATCTAAACATTCGTTGTTTTCACAGTGAGAGGGCAAACAGTTTTTTTTGTGACCATGTTTTGTGTTTATGCGCGATGTATTTCGTTTTCTATTCGCCGACTAATATTTTCAGATTAAAAATTTAGATTCTAAACACACAATGTGTGTTAGTTCACTGGGGAAAAAAATTCAGTCGATGCTTGAAATTTTGTGTTCATTTCGTTTGCAAACCGTCCGCGCAATAGCACCAGAACAGCGAGTGTGAGACTGAAAAACGAATTAAAAAACGATTCACTTTTTATACGCTTTCGTACACGTGAAGAAAAAAAAAACAGCAAACACACACAAGCAGTACTTGAATCATTGTGTAATGAAGACAAGGAGCCGATGAGTAATTTCTAAGTGCACATCGGCTTTTATTTATCATCTGTCAACAGATTAACTGTCATATAATTTTATGGCAAATAAAGAGGCTCGAGTTAGCGTTTTTTTGCGGTCACATCAACAACAACAACAACAACAATAACCGTCGACTGAATGACGTTTGACCACATGCTGTGCAACGTGCGCGCCTCCAATGCCAAAAATACACAATACTTTTGCCGCTGTTGCTGCTACGGCTGGATACATATTTGTTTATATTTATTACATCAGCGAAATATTTCCATTAAATGTGCCAGTTTATGAACCGAAAAATATTTAACAATTGATTGTGCCGAACCGAGTTGAACGCAATGACGCAAAAAAGAAACAAAAACGTCGTTTTTGTAAACAAAATATAAACAATTCGGTACACGGGTATGGAAAGCAGTGTTTGTCAAATACGCGTACTAGTAGAGTTCAGTGCATAATTTCTGCGTTGAGTACGCACATGAGCGTGGATTAAGTCAAAAGAATGATTTTTCAATAGGGAGAAAATATGTTGTCACGCCACCAAAACAGAACAATAGCACCGTAAATAATTGGGCCAAATTAAGACAGACGCAAAATCACTGACTTTCAATCAGAGTGTCTCATTCATAATTTTTTTTTTGTGATTCCATGAACGGATTGATAATCTCGAAAAAAATTCATTTTGCGTTGAAGTACGCTCAAAATAAAGCAGATTCTCCGATGTGCGACTGTTTCGAGTGAGTTTTCGGCTTCGCTTATCATCGGAAACTCCTTGAACGAACAATGATTGAGCGATAATTTCACCTTTTGTTTCTGATTCATTTGTTTATTGTTTTTTTTTCTCTTCCACGAAAATTAGTCCAATTTTTTTTTTTCAGTTGCTAATTTGGGTATGACGTATGTTTGCTTTGCTGGTGTGTGCATTGCTGATGTTATTGCTGGTGGCAATAAATCAGATATGTTAAAATTTAAAAAGGTGAAAGGCAATTCGTGTAAATGTTTGAAGAAATAAAAAGAGGTACGAAATTCTGGGACACTTCATGCCCATTGAAGCAATTAGATATCATATGAAGTGAATCAATCGAAAACAATAAATATACAAAAAAGTAAATGTATTCGTATATATCGATTCATAACCCGTTTGTCCATCTGCTCAAATCATGGCACTTGTTCATAAACTCTCGATATATCAACAACAAACATTCCGTCATGTGTCTTCGCTGAGCCAAGTGGTTGTCACTGATTTTTGTTTGATTTATACATGATTTGCTGGTGGCTTAGCGCGTGGAAAAATACGACGTTTAAGTGTTGCTTACTTTTGCATATTTTTGAGATTGGAATTGGATTGTATGCTCAGCAACAATTGTTTTCCAAAGTAAGAAGAAATTGCGATTAACGGCGCGATTCTCGGATCAAAAAGTAAACATTGGAAATTAACAATGGCAATGGAAAAATAAAATAAAAAGTCGACTGAAAGTTACTCCACGTCGTTGAAACATTGCTGATCTATCGCATTTGTTGGGATAATCTGTGTTTTCACTTTTCGCGAGGCGTAACTAACGCTCTCATTTTGTTTAATGCTGACCCATGGCTATATGCTGATCCATAACAGCATACAATTGCATTCACTTGCACACTGCCGTCAAGTTTCCCGATGTGAAAACTTACCGTTTTTAGCGGCGAGTGGGTCGACTCAATTGATTAAACGAAACAAATCCATCGGTATGTTTGTTTCTCTGAATACATATCTAATTAAAGTCAAAGTTTTAGTTCGCTCCGGCATTTTGGCCATTGTATTTTTGGCGTCAAGCAAGAAATGGGCTTGTGAAATGTGTGTACCTACGCAAAATTGGAAATGGTAGAGCAGATACAATCGTTGCACGAATATTAATTGAGCATAGAAATGGTAACGCATTTGTACTGTCATTATTATTCACACTTGAAGCGAGACTCCATTCATATATCATAATTTAAATTTTTTGATAGCTCGTGATAGCTACATGTGTAAAATTCCCCCCCTTTTCGAATAACCCATTGAATACCATCGCCACAAGCACAAAGTGAACGTTCCAAAAATGTGCAAAGTGAACGTTTGGTGTTGGTTACTTGAGAGCAAATATATACAAATGACACTGCCGTTGGCTTAATGCGAATTGTGTGCAGCGCTGATCGTGTTTCATGTTAATTACACAGCGAAATTATTCCGATTTTTCCGAAATATAAGCGAGCAGTCATTGGATCTTCATCCGCCAGTATTTGTTGATTCATTGTTCGGCTTGGATTGCAAATGCCAATTTGTTTAGGTTTCATCGCAACACTTTTCCCTATTTATATTGAACAATTAATCAAATGTCAACCGAACTAATATACTCTATGTTTATCGATTTTTCATTTTCATGGTGCATCGTCGTCGTTGTTGCTGTGATTAGTGAGGAACGAACGAATAAACGACCACAGTATCGTCATCGTAGTGCTGATAACGGTATCAAATGCACTTTATCAACCTCTTCGTCGAGCTCTTCATTAGGATCAATTGCATCGATTTCCGTATCATCGCAATCAACCGGAGAAATGAGCGATGATGAATCACTGTCTATCGATTCGGATGATGAAATTCCGATCTGGGTGCATGGTGAACAGCGTTGGATTTCAGGCATCACCAATGAAACGACATGTGGCCAATTGGTCGAGGCACTGCTGCAGAACGAGGGCATCAATGGTGAACCGATAAGTGGCACAACAACGACCGCTGAACATCAATACGCTATCACCGAACGATGGAGACGCGTTGAACAAATGCTCGACAATAAAACGAAAATCCTGAAGATTTGGAAGGCATGGGGACAAACCAAATCAGAGGTAAGTTCAGTGCATATTAAATAACCTGTTAAATTCACTTTAGTGACAGACAGAGGGTAAATCTTTTAATCAAATTAAAATATATCCGGAAGAATTGACAAGGGAAATCTATCAAATTACAATTTCCACTGACACAAATGATAGCGCTTGCAATCGCAACGTCTTTTTTTGTGCAAAGAACAAAATGCTCTTTTACGAATGGAACTTATCGATAGAGAAAGACCAAAATGTATTCGACTCTTTTTTCACCCACTCGCAAACACACATACAAAATTGTGCCAAATAACACTTTCCACTCAGGTGGTGCAATGCAAACGAAAAGACCGATTTTTTTCTGTCATTTCTCAAACTTTCGTAATTGATTTTATTGAGTGACTGTGTTTGTCGACAGACGCTCAAATCGTTCGTTTGCATTCAATTCAACTCTCTTTTGTGTTTGTGGACAGGGCACATCACTGATGTGGCATCAGTTTAAGTGAGCATGGTGCACAAATAATAATTGAATTGTGCACCCGATGACCCACAATTGGAACTGCATGATTTGCGTTCCTAACTATATGCAAATTTACATTGCACGTACCGTATGTTGGTTTCAGAATGAAAATCGATTTGGAGAAGAAAGAAATAAAAAAAAAACCAACGAAAGTTGATTTATTGAAGACAGCCAAAGTACCTCTCGAACATTTTAATCTGACGGTGTCTTTATTTGTTTTCGTCGTCCATTCACGTTGAGCTCCTATTTCAATTTAAACATATGCTCATGTTGGTGTTTGCGATGAACACAAAAGAACCAAAAGTTTGCTTGCAATTCGAATTCGAATGAGTTTTTGTCGACAGCATCGGGAATGACAGAGATGTAGATCGAAAGGATTTACCAATATACATTGCGATGCATCAATTTTATTCCAACTTCCTACATAAATCCCATATAATTCCGTTATGATAAATTGCTTTTTGTGCATGAGATCTCTATGAATTGGAAATATTGTTCAATCCAGTTTTTGCAACGGAAAATATTCAGAATTTTATAGAATTCTAAACAAACGTATCGATCGTTGAACAACAAAAACTTTTGAACAAGTTAAATATTCAAATATATTTTTTTTAATATACTCGCAAAAACACTTTGATTGGATGCAAACGAAAACAAAATTCGTTGACACGAAATATAATATTGAAAATCTGTTTTTCAGCATTTTGGTTTGGTGAACGGTATGGTGACCGTTCGAATCAACTAATTGGTATTTTTTTTTTCTTACTGGGCTGGAAAATCGAATTTATTTTCCAAACAGATAATTGGGGAGTTGCAGCACGTTCCATGTCAATGCTCCTGGTTTGCTGTTTCGAATCATCGTCGGCAGCAAGCTTCATGCTGAGAAACCGAAATAATGAGGGAGATAGAGCATCTGCGCATATAAGTGGAAAATCATTAAGTACGATCAAGTCTATCCATGAATTGTCTCGCTGCTTCAATGAACTTGCAAAACTTTATGTTCGAAATTGGGAAGCGTGTGTGTGTGTGTGTTTAAGTGTGCTCTTCGATTCCGAATTGTGTGCAAATGCGTGTAATTTTCAATTGAGAATCCCAGATATATACCTGAATATTGCCAAACAAACGGATTATGTTGTAACCTTAAAATTTATTCGAGTTTTGTCGACTGGAGTGAGAGAGAGAGAGAGAGAGAGAGAGAAATAGAAACATGAATACTATCGTTAGCTAAGTACATAATGTGTAAAATCGAATATCAAGTCAATTGGAAAGTGAGAATGCAAATACTGGCACATTAAAATGTATAGTTATGATCCAACCGAAAATAAATGCACTATCGCTCTGGCAACGTCTGGGTATTTCCCCGAAGTTTGCTCTCCATCAACATTGATTTCCATCACAACGCGCGCGCGAGTGTGTGTGTGTGTGAGGGAGCAGACTGAAGTGCATATTCACCGAATAACATTCACTCACATAAATTGAACATGCCATTGTTTAATTAGACTTGAATGTGATCCGTAGAGTGTATTAGTTTTGCCAAAAACAGTCTCTCATCCATCCATGTTCGGTGAACAATGAACATCCATGGTGTTTGGCGAAGTGGTGCATGTTTTCCTCCGTAAGTGGAAACCCAAATGTTTTGACTTGCATTTGAATTGTTGCAACCGAGAAATGGTAAATACATATGTATGCATGAACTGATATTTTACCACTTGAAGTTGATGGGTCTTAACGAAGCTTTGTTTCCAGAATGCCGGAGATTTAAAAGCAATGAATTTGATGTTTGTTTTATGCAAAACCACATTTATGAGCATTGAACTGTAGTTTGATTCGAATCAGAAACTAGAATTTATCATCAGACACATGGAACACACACACAAATTGGAACATACACATATGATGTGTTTATCGAACAAGAAATTCTTATCTGGCTGCTGTGGCATCGCGAAAATTGAGAGATTTCATTACATTTTTGGATGTGGCCACCATCTACAACGAGACCGTTAACCTTCTTTCTGTGCGCTCGCGTCCTATATAACCCAAACACATGATACAAAAGGAGCCGAAGTGAAATTATACCATTTTAGCTGAATGGATGCAATGGTTTGATTTGTTGAATGTGATAAATCGCAACTCATTCATCATGGAAAAGAAAAGAGAAATGGGGAGGCCACAACACACATTAAATGTTACGTTTTCATTGCTACAAATCGGAGAATCGCGTGTCTATATTGCGCGTCGTTTGTGCAAAATCCAGTTCACAATGGATGCGATGCCACACAATATTGCTTTTGAATAGTGAATGTGGTGGATTGGCACAAGAGATAGTTTTGCATTTTATCATCGGAATTATGTCGAAAGCTTACAAGCATATTCGAAGCTCTGGCAAAGTGAAGAGCAAAGATGCCGTACTGTGCCAAGAATTCCATTCACGGCAGTCGCAGCAGCAGCAGCAGCAGCATCTGATCATATAAGCCCTCAAAGCATGCAAATACTCATTTTTGCAATTTTCCATATACAGAGAATATCGGGCCTTTGTTCATTTACTAGAAGCCGTAGTAAAATCTGATAATTAAGCTCGACATTTAATAGAAAACGCAAAAATGCTTTTTACGACCAGATTCAACAATGCCTACACATTGTTTTTTCTTCTTCTTCCGTTCCAAAGAAGATACGGAATTTCAAGTATATAATTAGATGGATAATAAAAGCAGCATGTAAACAAGCCAACAATTTTAGGCCATGGCAAACGCATTTTAATTTATCACCGATTTTCTGTTGTTCTCTTTTTCTGATTTTTATAACAACAGAAAAACTCACTGTGTATCGAAAATTTTGCCAACTTGAAATATTCGAGATTTTATTACTTGTCTCCGTTTTTATCAAAAATTCTAATCTATCGCCTCGGAAAATATGCTCCGTTTTACTTGCATTGTATAAAATTTCCATTTAGTTGGGATACATGGTTCATTTGTTAGAGAGGGAAAAAAACGAGAGAGAGAGAGAGAAAGAGAGAGAAAAAACGAAGGAGAAAAACGAAAATATGTATTAGAAATTCAAAAGAAATGGCGCCGTTTGTACACTTACACAGTGTCTATTCCAGCTACTTCATCTATGTGTTTGTTGGACTTATAGAGAGAGAAGGAATGCCCGTTCAAATGACTTACCGAAATATAGTGATGTACCGTAAGTGTTTTATGCACTGTGTCATTTTCATACATATATATTTTTTTCGTTCATAATTCGAGTGTCTCATGATTTCTCAATGCAATTTTGGCGAGTAGCTCAGAGCAAATTTCCTTTTTGCAGATTTATTGTGCAATTTGCATTTTAGCTCAAAAAATTCGGTTCCATCGCTGTGGGGCTGCTGTATTGCTCCAACAATACACCGCAAACATCCATTTTTATCGCCCCCAAACTATATAAACGATGATATTGAAAGATTCGAATGCAATGAGAAAAGGACGTATTTGGTGAATGATGGTGTCTTTCGAATTTAACATAAAATCGAACGTGTTCAGCCATGTTCAGCTTGTGTGTATGTACTCATGTATTCTCTCATTTGTACGGTTCGGGAGTTTTATCGGTGAGCTCTGTGTTGAGTTTGCATCGTCCTCCCCAAAAATGCTCCTGTTTCCATTCCAATGTCCCTGCTTCCACTTTGGCTTATCTCTCCAAAAGTTATTTCATGCACCACAGATTTGAATCGAAATCCTCGTATCTCTCTCTCTTTTTTCTCTTTTCCTGTCTCTCTTTCCCTCTCCCTCTCTATGTGTCTCTTTTACATTTTTCTGTTGTTGTTGGTCGTTTGTTCGTTCTACCAGTTTACTCTCCCCCTCGTTCTGTTGTTGGCTTGTTCAAAGTTACGAACATCGAATAAAATGTAAACACAGTGAAAACATCGTCATTCCATTTCGGTCATGAATGCACCCACCGTATACACATATCCAATGCATTTTAGCACAATCATAGCATCGCAACTACCAATCGATAAGCATGTATAAAATACAATCGATGACATGCGGTTTTTAACACGAGATCCCAATTCTTTCGTTTCGTGTTACAGTTTCTGTATTTTGTTTCTCAGATATTTGATATGTGTTATGAGCACATTCGCCGTATTCTTATCAAAGGGATATTGCAACTTTTTTTTGACCAGAAAAAACGCCATCTTACGTCGTGCCCGTAAATTATTTTACTGTACATTTTGATGGTAGAACTTGAACAAAAGTTCAATACTATGCATGAACTTGGAAAGAGCTTGATAAACTTGATGAAATACATATATTTTATGGTCGTTGCAATGCTCCTATGATTCTTATGGTTTGAATGTATATGTATCTGTTGTCTGTTTGTGGCACTTCAGCAAAGTGTTTGACGGGAATGAAAAATAATATTTACAGCATGAATAAGTCAATGTGGATAAATACGTTACGTGAAATGCACTGAATGGCAAAACGATCGACAACCAAACACCAACCAATTGTTGAAGACGAGGAAAAGTTGAAGAGAGAGTAAAAAAAAGCAACAGCACTCCATACATTATCGTGTCATTGCACATGCATTCAGCCAGAATTTCAACTATATAGTACTCACTGCAAATGTGTCGCTGAGCATAAAAATGGGAATACAGATCTGTTACAGCAACAACCGAACATAAGATATTGTTCCTCAAAAACGTTACATGAATTTCTATCCAATGTGAGTGTAACATGAACTAATACTAATACTAACATGAACACTCGCGTTAGATGGAAATTCATATAACGTTTTTAGGGAACAATATTTTATGTTCGGTTGTTGCTGTAACAGATCTGTATTCCCATTTTTATGCTCAGCGACACAAATATTCTTGAGAAATCGATTTCAAGTTTTCCGTGGCAAACACACCACTTCTTTTCTTCTTCATCGTCGTCGTCGTCTTTGTTTGCATGAATTTGACTTTCAAAAGACATGAAAAATAAGTTGCAAGTTTCAATGACTTGAAGCATTAAACACGAGCATGTCTTAATTTTTATTCAATTTGTCGCTAAACTTCTGTCAAATTGTGCTTCTCGCTTTTTTTCTCCCCTTCAAATGCAAATCGTGAAATGACTTTTAACCGAAAACGAAATGGTAGCGCAACATGTTCCAATCATCATTGAAAGTAATCAAAGTTTTAAACGGTTTCAAACAAGCCAACTCAAGTTATAGTGTACTCAAGACGGCAGCGCGTGTACAGTGTACACACAGTGGTGTCGATGGAAGTCACAGTTAACAAAGTCAAATCAATTTACTTGAATGAAAGGCGTGAAAACCGAATCAAGAACGGAATAATCTGATTGCGGTCAGCCACATTCAATGCATACACAGACACTGGCGAGAGTAATAGAAATCAATCCAATTACAATTCAGTCAAACCAGAGTGAATGTTTGTGTGGATTCAAAATCCAAATCTTATCATTTCAATCCCGACGTTTGTACCAAAATTTACTCCCAATGCGCTTATAACCGTACTCATATATCGAACAATATTTAACGAATTTGCGAAGGACCATCTAAACACAATCCATTCTGGCTCGCTCTCATCGGACCAATAGAGATTCCGAGCATGCTTCGTTGCAATAAATAGAAAGAAGATATACTCAAAAGCCCAATTTTGCTTCGATTTTGTAATTCACGGCAGTCGTAAACGAGAGAGAAAAACACACAAACACAGTCGCTGCAGAGAAATGTGTCGCTTTTCGGTCTTCAGCAGTAGAACAGTGTGTGTGCCATGCTGTATGCGATTTGTTATCACGGAAAACTTTCTGCGCTAGCATCTTTATTCCGCATGATGTTCGGCCGAAGGTCGGAACGGCACACCACCATCGTAAAGGTAACGGGAATTCGTTTTTAAATCACGTGCCTGTTTTGTATGCACCGAATGGCTTAAGCCATTTGAATGAATATTCTTCGCTTTTTTTACGATTTAGATGGTAACTCGTAGAGACGAGAAAAAAAAGTAACGAGCGAAACACTTTCGATATGGACACCGATTAGCTTTCGCATTCACTCATAAAAATGCATAAATTTTTACTCGCGGCGCAGATTTTGCAATAAACGAAAAAAGGATAAATGATAGTATATGTCCGGAGCCATAAAATTTTTTGGCAACAACGACCCAATGAACCAAGAAAAAAAAACACATTCGACAAAATCAATAAAAATGTTCGCTTCGCCATTTTTGATGGTGTTTTGTGTATTTTCACTTGTGATGCTTTCGGATAAAGCATTCAGCGGCCATGGAATTCCATACATTCGGACCACCCTCGCAAAATATTACAAAATGAGAAAATACATTGTTGTGCAACGGAAATGAAACGACGCATTACTGACTTTATTGTGCGACAGCACTGGAAACAAATTCCTTTTTTTATAGAAAACAGCAGCAGCAGAACATTGAATAAATTTCGATGTTTCGTTTTCCAACACGCCCGTTTGTAATCAAAATAAATGCGATATTGATCAATGTTGTGCCAAAGTCATTTGTTTGCTCTAAGATCATAGGCGAATATCATGCAAAAAAATATGATTTTATAACTCTGATTATTCTGCTGTGATGGATATTTTCTAATTCAAACAAATTATTCAACTTTATATATTTTTTTACGACTTTCACTGTAGCAAAAATGCTTTTTACAATATCCGCTTGCTTCTTTGTCGAGTACTCTTATGCAATGAAGAAGAAAAACTTCCGAAATTCTCCGAAAGTATCGAATTTTTCTCGACTTGTTTTCTCTCAGCCACCCAATCGTGCTTCAACTTATTTCAAAGTTTACAATCACAGTGCTTATTTCGGTTTTTATTTCAATCGACTTGAGAATTCACCGGGACTGTTTTGAATTATAAACTCTTTGCACTTGAAGTAACTTCATCGAAGCCTTTTCACAAACTGCAAGACTTCAACGAATCGTATATGAAGCCGTAGTTTATTCAATTTTTACGCTATGGGAATTTTGAGTCGCGATTTAACCGACTAACAGCTCACTGCAATTTGACCGTTTCGAATCGAACATGAAGATTAAAAAATAACAACACATTTTGATGAATACTTGAAATATTCCCACAAATAAGTTACGCCGCTGGGCAAACTCACATAAATCAGATAATTGTGATAACATTGTCAATTTTGCACAAACAATATTTGAAACAGCGCACATTTTCATCATGTCATACGCTTTGTCATTGATTTCGATTTGTTTTTCCAAATATTGCCATTTTATTCAACGAATGTTAGCACCGGGAGATCTTGTGACTTTGTTTGAAAAATGTAAATTATGTAAAATACTACCAAATATTTACTCGACTAGACACAACTAGGTAGAAGCTTTTTGAATTGACGATTTTAGAAAATGAAGAATCTACTTGCCGTTCACAGAAAATATCAGCAACTAAATGTTATTGTTGGGGTTTGACATAACTGGAATCGTGATTCACTTTATGCTTCTAGAGAATATGTGAATTTCAATAGAAATGATATTATCAAGCGATAAGAACATTAGGCTTGACTCATATCACGTAATACGTTCAAAGTCATATATTAAACATCGTTGGAGTCACCAAATCTATTTTGGTACTTTTCCGTGAAAAAAAAGATGGTTTTTATCAATTAAAAACGGTTTTTGATAGTGAAATTTCTGTGGTGATTCAAAGAAACTAGGGCAATTTAACTCAAACCACAAATGAACTCAGTCCATTGAATTCATATTTTATACGGTTCATTTTCCGTCATGAATTTGGTAACAAAATATGCACATTCCGCAAATGAACGAATTTGAACAGGAATTTCAGTTTGCAATGCTCGGAATGCAATGTATAGCCAATGTTTGTATTACTCTCAAAAGCGAAATGTTCAGTGATTTACCGCTTGAATTTGCTTACTCCGGCGATATAATTTTGTGGTCGATTTGATTGTGACAAAAAATTCAATCATATGCTCGATAAATTCACAATGAGCACAGGAATAAAAAAAACCAAAACTAAAATAAAACTAAATTTTCCCTTTTTAAAGGGGATGGAATGTTTTGTCGACAAATTGTTTGACCGGAAAACGTTGATTATGTTTATGACGTCTTTTGAAATAGCCACGAAAACCGATTTGTTCATACTGAAGAAAAAAAACATGTAGCAAGTTCAATATTCCCATGATTTTCTAGAAAATTGATTTTTCCGAGAAAGAAAAGCTCTTCTGAGAAGAACAAGAGGAAAAATGTACCCAATAGCTTGTACTTGTAATTTTTCATGTCCGCGTAGTTGGACAAAGGTACGATTAAAATAGAAAATATTACGTAAATCGAATTGAAATTGTTTCTCTCCTTCGCTAAAAACACAATTTTTAACTATTGAAACTGTTTGTATAAAAATTTTTTTTTGATTCAGTCAAAACTCAGGATGAGTTCCATTTTTCCGAAGGAAACTTCAGTCACGCTACTCCTAAGAATTGGAAATTCAATCGTTTCAAAGCATAAAAGCTTACATAAAAATCTATTGAGTGATTGAATGATTTCAATATCCCTTTCGAATTTGTTTCATTTTGTTTCGGAAATCGGATTGATTCTAATCTAGATGAAGGAATTTCATGCTAACCATCACGCTAACAAAAATTGTTTTTCTTCCATTTTCCACTAGGTTCGATTGACGTTACGTCGACTTGACTCGCATAATATACGCAGTCGTTCACATCACGTTGATTATGACAGCGGAAGAGAGAGTCCAATATCACGAGCGGACAGTGCGATTGTTCGTCGGCGTCGGCATCGTACAGCAAAGACGTCAAAGAATGCCAAAACCGTTCATCCGAAATCGTCAAAAGCGTCCATTGAGAAATTAATGAAATTAATACTGGAACAAGGTGAAACTATCCAACATCAATTATCCAAATTGAGGTAAGCATCGGAAATACCTATATCGATGATGCATTGTAGTTTATTTTGTGCAAACAAGAAACAAAACAAAGCAAAGAAAAAGAAACGGGAGATAAGACTTTCGTTCATTTGTTCTTTCATTCCCTCTTCGAGAGAGATCCATTTTGAAAATTAAAAAAAAATCTCATGCGCATTTTGAAGGGATACTTTTTGGCAACCAAGATCTATCGATACCGATATACAGCAGCATAATGCCAGTGGGCATGCTTCATTTTTATTTGAGTAATTAATTACTCTATTTTGTGATTTGGGGGGCTGAAACTCGGGCGCGAAAAGAACGATTGCAAAAAAGAATTTATTTGTTAAAGCATCTTATCCATTCATTCCGATGACTAACTTTTCTTTTCTTCTCTTTTCGTTCTCTTTTCATATCGTTTCCACTTAATCTTCCGGGATATTGAAAATCCCAACAGAGACCGGGAGCATGAGATTGCCGAGTACGAGGATGACCATCATCGCACGCACCGTCGTCACGCTGAAAATAAAATGGGTAAAAATTATTTGCTCGAAACATATTTGAATGGTTTGTACAAGGTTGGTGGCACAGAAGCTGACGGAGGAGCTGTTGGAAACGAAGAGTGTGGTGAGAAGAACAATAACAACGGTGCCAACGGCATCATCGATGATGAAATCGATAAAGCAATAACGACACCTGGAAACAGCGACAGCGGCGTAAATACCGAAGATATTGCAACATCGCCCGCTCTTTCATCTCCATTAACAAATGGCAGCAGCTCAAGCAGCACCGATAACAACAATGATGGAAAGAGCACCGGCATCGCAAAGACCAAAATAATGGATACGAAATCATTGAAGGATATTTGTAAACGTCTAACGACGAAGAAAGGGAAAAAAGAGAAAAAGCAATCAGCAATGAAATTGGCAGAGGGGGCAACAAGTCGTGAGGCAAAACTAATAGCCGAGCACGAGAGTCGCAAGGAATTTTGTGCGAAAATGGAGAAGTCGCATGAAGATAAGGTAAACAGTACGGGAGTTGATGCTGCCGCCACCAACGACACTATCGTCGCCGCCACCGATTCTGACAATGCACGTAAACCGCTAAATGTAAATGAGCATTTAGCGGGACAAATTGAACTGCTCGAGAAGGTGATTGCGATCAATAAACACATTCAACGAGAGGAAGAGCTGTTGGTGCGATTAAATGCGAAAATTCGTAAATATGAAGTCGATGATCCGAGTTTGAGTGAAGTCGAAATGCGAAAAGTACTCGACCAAATTAACTCAAACATTGAGAACAGTAATACGGAGCTGGTGAAAACGGAACACGAACTGAATGAATCGCAACGAATGCTAATGACAAAATCGCAAATCGTTAAAGAGTTGAGCAAAGAACTGGAAACGCTCGAGATTGATGGTTGTACAAACCAGAACGTAATTCAGGTGCCCAGCCATCAAATACAAATTCACAGCAGTAACGTGGACGAATTTCAAGAAATGCAACAAAACACATCACAACAGCAACCAACACCTGTGCCTTCGGCACATCCATCGCCTGAAACAAATCAAATGCCAACGGTGGCAATTCCCAGTAACTCCATGCGAACTGGCACACTACCAAAACTAATTTCATCCGTTCTTAAGAAAAACACACCAATCAATGCGAAAAACACCTACTCCGGCACCATACCAAAAACTCAACAGCGAACCACCACCGTGTGCAATCAAATACAGTCAGCGGCACCGCCACCACCACCGCCGAATGTTGAACGAACGATGGTCCCCGTTCCGATGCCATCGAACGCTGTATTTGTTGCCAAAAATCAATCGTTTCTTGTGCCCGATCACGTAATACTCAGCCAGGCTCCGTTATTCTTCCAAAAGGATACATTTAATGGCGATTTTATGCAATCAACCGACCAAAGAAATATCAACAACAACAACAACACCACCACCACCAACAACAACAACAACATTAACGCTAACAACAACATCTATTCAAACCGCACCATTAGTAATTTAACTAGCAGCAATAGCATTAATCTCAACCATAATGTGAATATCAATCCATCGGCGATGGCGAATTGCGCAAAAGTCGGACCAAAGAAACTGATAAATGGCTTTTATAAAGATGCAGACTCCTCTGACACGGGGCTCAGTTCGCTCGGTGAAGATGGCCTATTGCATATTGGCACACTTGTTTGAGACTTGTCATCTAATTCAATACTTTATTTATAACATACAAATAATTTCACAATAACAGGCGAAATGAGAGATGAGCAATAGCAGCGTGGGTTTTATTCGATTTTTATGGATCGCCAAATCCAATGTTGCTGCTGATGTTGCTCCAATAAATTTTTATATTTGCGTTGTTATTAAGTGATAAAACAATAAGTCTTTGATCATATATATATCAGACAATATTGGAATTTAATGGAGTGAGAGAATGGTTTTTTCTTCTTCTTCATTTGAACAAAGAAAATATGCATCAACGCCCGTTCCAAGGCTGATCATTGTTATACTTTATACATTTAAGTTGGATAGTTTTATGCAAAAGTTACGAAGACACATTTTCTGTTGAAGATCCAATGAAAATCGATGTATGGAACATTATTATTTGATTAATAAATGCACTTTTTGATAAAAATTAGCATGCTTTCTAATAACATCACAGAGGACGGTGGTCCGATGAGTGACGCTCCATTGAGTATATCAATGGAGAATTTATGTCTTTTGAGAGTTTTAGAAAAACCGCTCTTGTTTTTCAAAGAGGTAAGTACTTAATGTATGCTCTCCTAAAACTTCGGATGAGCAAATATATTCTTGGCAAAAATAATAAACCCATGGAATATGAGATGAAAAATCCAAGAGGATTATACAACACATAAGGCAAAACAAAATTTCTCCGAAACACGTCTTCAGGCCAACAATTTGACATGCGAAAAGTCGTATGCGTTAGCATTTCAAAGTTCTTAACTGTCAATTTCAGTGGAATTTCTTTTTTGTCAACCGTTCAGAGTGGGAGCGAGAACGAGATAGAAAGGGAGAGAGAGAGAGCGACAGAAGAAGGGAGAGAATAAAAGCCGATGTGAAACATTTTGAAATGCATTTATTGTGATGCATTTGTCATGAAAGCAATTGGAATTGGAAACTTTTCAAGGATCGTTTTCATATTGAAACTGGGTCAAGACTTGTCAGTGAGAGAGAGAACGAGGGAGAGTGAGTGAGTGTTTTTTTTCGGAAACTTTCGGAGCTGAATGTTGGGAAAGGTTTTGGCAAGCAATTTTCGGTGCCAAGTATTTTATAACGACATGTGGAACTTTTTCTCTCTCGCTCTCACTCCGTCGATATGAATATGAGGCAAGAGCCACATCAAAAGGCATGCATTGTTGTGTTGCCGACCTACCGCAATCGAACCAAGCTTCATTCTTTATGCATGAGACGCATTGAAAGACAAACACAAACAGATAAAAGGAGTTTCATGTTGGCTTTACGCCCTATCCCACTCTTTCGCCCACCCAACTGTCTTGGCGAATGTTTCAATTTTTAGCTAAAACCGAAAGCCAGACATTCAACAAACACGCTTCATTTATTTTATGTGATTTTCCAAGGCAGACGGTAGATCAATTGATTTTATGGGTTGCGTGACACTTATCCCGAAAAACAATTTAATAAATTATTCAATTCATGGGGCTCTTACACATAATTAACAGTCAATGAATTTTCGTCGCCGAATTTATTTCTCTCCCACTGATTTTCGGATGCATAAAATGCCTGCCGAGTGACGCGATGTGAAATATTTTGCGAAAAATAAACAGCAAATATTGCGTAAGTACGTGAAATCATGTGTGCTCTGATCGTTATTCCACTATCTGCGGATCTTTGTGATAATTAAATAAAATTAATGAACCAATATATGCCCATTGCTAATGACTCATTACAGCCAGGTTATCTGTTTCGCGAAATGTTATAATACGGTGTACGTATTTGCGTGCGAAGTGGTAATGCGATATCTCGAGATAACTTCACACGGTGTTTACGTTCATTGTATTGGATATTTGTTTTTTCCTTTTGGTTGTTGCACTTTAATTTTCAAATAAGTGAGCACGAGTAATTACTAACGCGATAAAAATCTTGAATCCATAAAATTTGCATATGAAAACTATGTGCAAGTATGGAATGAATTACATAAACGGTGAATAGTCTTTATAAGTATGAGATAGCTGCACCGAAAATCAAAAGCAATGAATGCTGAGTACTTGAATTAAGTGTGTGTACCAAGTGAACCCGGAATTGTTTCGATGGTAATTATATTAGTGCTTAGAGCGATGTTCAAAAACATTAGAGCATGGAAAATGTGCAGTAAAAACACGAGCCGCTTTCCTTTTGAACGAACTGAAGACAATGAATTTGCATAAAATTCAAGATGCGTCTGGGTGTTGCGAAACAAAGATTCAATTGTCATGTAATGTGTGTGAATGAATGGCTTACTCAAGTAGACAATATGGCTTTTCCGCTGCGGCTCCAGTTATCTTAATGTTACAAAACATTAATCACCGTGCGCTGGCGTTAAAATTTCAATGGAAAAATACATTTCGACACTTTCAAAAATTAACAGAACAAAGAAAACGACAAACGGTTAAAGTTTCAAATGCAATCATTTTTATTTTGTCCAAAACAATTTCTTAAGATTGGGTAAGTATTGTATATATTGTCTGAGTCCTATTTTTGATTGATACATTTTGTTCAGAGTCAATGTTTATGTTTGTTTTTATTGGGTGATTGTATGAATTGCATCTATGCTGAAACAGTTGCATGTTGTATAAATGTGAAAATCAACATGTTGACATTGCTTTGCACTTTAACATTTCGTTTAACTCTACATATTTGCAATATTTTATTTGCTACAATTAGCACCTATATATGTAAATTCGCACGAAGCGTGCTCCATTTCTACAAAATATAACATGGTTCAATTATCAACAGAGTTTTTTTCTATTTTTTTGGGTGATTTTTTTCCATAACTAAATTTAAATGTTCGATTTAAATGCAAAAAAAAACATTTTTTTTTCTATCGAGCATCAAAATGAAAAAAAAAACCAGGGCTCAAAAATAATTTAGTGCATTCTCAAACACACTTACACAAAAAATAGAGTATTTACAGAATATATAAAATTATTTTTCATGCTTTTTTGAATGGTGAATTTTTATGTGTGAGTGTGTGGGTTTTATTTTAAAAATCCGATCAAAAGCTGCTCATTTATTAACAATAACAGCAGAAAAAAAAATTAAAAATTATCAATTGAAATGCTAACAAAAATAAGCCAGGGAAAAATTCGTGTTCAATATTTTATCTCTCCAGCTAAGTGGAAATTCGTTAAAATGCAATATTTTCGTTATTATTGTGCTGTGAATGCGATTCAATAAATATAGAATTGATCCCATTAAAAAAAAAATTCTGTTATGAAAGAAAGTAGAGAAAAACACAACAATTGCATCCACTTTTATGCACTGCACAAAATGTATTGAAGTGTGCACAGCAGCAGAGTGTTGTTGAATGCTGATGTGTTTGTTGTCGTTGTTGTTGTTGTTGTGTCTATTTATTTGGACTGGTTGGCATTTATTCGGGTGTTTAATTTGGAATCGTTGTAACAGCCTCGTGAATAGCTTTGGCAACATGTGAGACATTATTCTCATTCAAACCGCTCATACTAATGCGGCCCGTTTTCAATAAATAAATATGGAATTTATCAATTAAGAGCTTCACTTGTTTTTCTGCAATGAAATTGAAAACAGGATTTAAAAAAATCGCACACATTTCAATTCATTAGTTGGGGAAAACGTAAATTCCATTGGGCATTTTCGACAGTTTATTTATTGTTTCTCACACTTACCATTCAATCCTGTGTACGAAAACATTCCAATTTGATCAACAATGTGGTTCCATGTGCCGGGTGTACCCAAGCGAACGAGCTCATCGTACAGGGCTTTACGCATTTTGATAATACGATTCGACATGATTTTTATGCATTCATACCATTCTTTGCGCAAAATTGGGTCATTGAGTACGGCATCAACGATGCGTGCACCAAATGCCGGTGGGTTTGAGTACATGGCACGAACGATTAATGTTAATTGTGAAAGAACGGCAGCGGTGGTTGCTGCATCCTTTTGCACCACCGTCAAATTACCAACTCGTTCACAATATAAACCAAAATTTTTGGCATATGATTGAGCGCAGAACAATTCAGAACCGCGCGATTCAAAATAACGAACAGCGAATGCATCACGTACTGGATCACCACTTGCAAATCCTTGGTAAGCCGAATCGAAGAATGGGAACAATTTTTTACTCTGTGAAAAAGAACGATTAAGTTTTATGCTTTTGATTTCTTCAAATAATGGCAGTTCGGGTGAAATTGAAAGCAATAAGCACCTCAATAACATCAGCAATAAGTTTCCATTGTTCTTGTGTGGGATCGCAACCGGTGGGATTATGAGCACAAGCGTGTAAAATAATGACAGCACCTTCGGGAGCATTTTTCAAATCGTCGAGCAATCCATCGATATCGATTCCACGCTTTTCCGCATTCCAATATCTGTAAGTGCGGATATCAGTGAAACCAGCGCCAGAAAATACTTTATGATGATTTTCTGACAAAGAAAAATGGAATTATTATTTTGCAGTTCGATTTTATGGTACCGAAAGTATATTGATTGTTTAAAAAAAACCTACCCCATGTTGGGTCCGAGTAGTAAACAACGTTGCGGCCCAATTTTCGTGACAAAAATTCAGCGCCCAAACGCAATGCTCCAGTGCCACTCAATGCTTGTACACCATGGGCACGGTTCTCTTTGACGGCTGCCGATTCTTCACCGAGCAACAATCGAACCGATGCCTTTGTGAAACTTTCCAAACCAGTCACCGGCAAATACTCATGATTTATATTCTCGCTTTCAGCAACTTGGATTTCTGTCTTCTTCACTACGGGGAGAACCCATGGGCGACCATCTGGTGTTCTATAGGCTGGAATATTGAGAAAAAAATGTATTTAAACCTTAGTGTCTTGCTGTAGAAGAGAATATTTTTCTTCTTATTATTTTTTATTAAGAGTTGTTTTCGGCCTGTACTGACTTTTGACTCCTACAATTTGAGACGTTTCAATTAGAGTTTTCGTTTTTCAAAATCGTCTATAGACGGAACCAGAATGAAAAAAAAAAATACAAACGACACTTGAAATTAGAAATTCCGTTACATTGCAATAAACAACAACATTGTTATCTCAACTGTTTGTCAGCATTTATAACAATGAATGCGCATATTTTCTCTAATTTTATATTTTTTTAATCAAAAAACGTAAAGTTTGTAAACAACATCATTTTCTGAATGAGTTGATAAGCAATCGTTGTTTCAGTGTACACTGTACACTGTTCTCCAATGATTTTTAAATGGCAATTTTCCCTTCAAAAACAGATTAAATCCAGCAGACATGTAGTATCAAAAGTGAAATACGTCATAGACAATATTTTTATTCAAAAGATGTGATATGTTATGCCACTATTATTTTTCCACCCGTCTTATGAAGGAAAAAAAAAATACTTTGATTTGCGTGTGAACGTATCGTCAATCGTGCGTTATAGTCTCGTTCTTGAAAAAGACTTTCACCCGAACAGCGACAAAAATGACAAACTGTTAGCAATTAACCGGGCTATTTCCACTTTGAAGTCAATATCTTATCATTTTTCATTGACGTAATGTTTGAGCGTTCGACAGTTGTTATCAACAAAGAACCTTCCCCATTTTAAAAGTTTTTCTATACTATTTTTTACACACCGTCTCCACTTGCATTTAGTTTCCATTACATTAGATACACTTTGACAGTTGAAATCCAATGGAAGTGGAGACGAGTTGAAAGTTGCCGCTTATTCTTTGATGGCAAAGTCATATGACATGTATGAATTGCAAGGGACAATTTCGTCTAAACCAAGGGGCAGAGCAGTACTAGAGTAATCTTCTAGTCCAAAGTAATTCCGAAGTAATTCACAGTAATTCCTCCTGATTTGTTCTGACGTTTCTGAGGAATTACTGTGAATTATTTCAGAATTACGTTGGACTAGAAGAATTACTCTAGTACTGCTCTGCCCCTTGGTTTAAATGGACGAAAAAATTGAATTAATTAATTTCATTGTGTCTAGTGATTTGAGGAATCAACCATTGGCATTACAATAAAAGCAATGCTCTCTCACATTTGTCACTTAAACGGAGTCGATCTTTGCAGAAAATTCTTATCAGCTGTCACAGAGTCATTTTGTGGCACTTTGTAGCACAAATTGAGAAATGCTTCGCGATTATTATTCAAAATTGATTAGAAAATGTTAAAGAGCGAGATTTGACTAAAAATAGGCAAACGAATGTCTCCTTTGGTATTTTTCCCGTAAAAATTATCGCTTGTTGCGTGTGAAAAGTCACCAAGGGGTTTAATTATCAGCTCATTTCGAAGTCGTGCAATGTAATCAGCTCCGGATATTCCGTATTCAAAACGATAAGTAATTACTTGGCGAGAACCAACACGTCGACAATAAGGCGTGGAGAATTTGAATTGGTACTGTAAATCACACATTGTAACTAAGTCAATCCATTTACTATATGAATATATTCATACATATATGTGCTCGAGTTTTGTTCGATATGTAAATATTTATTGTGTGGAACGGATAACGAGTGTTTGACTCTGTTTCGACTCACATTCATAATAATTAACAGCAATTGATGGCAATAGAAACCAATGAAAAAAAATTACGCTCGCATATCGCCCTCCATTTTTTTTCTCTCTCTATGATATTTAATACGATACATGTGACATTTTGCAGATTATCTAAATGAGTTTTTTTTATAAGGCTCTTCAAAAGTATGCTGTAACAATTAAAATGGCAAGTCAAGTCAAGTGAAACCGGCAAATACTAATTTGTTTCTATCAAACCGATCCGGTTACATAACCGAACGTGTGACGAGAGTGAAAAGAAATAAAATCGATCCAAAGAGACATATTCGTTCCGCGTAAATCACACATATATTAATAACTAGACTATAGATGACCTTGACTATGACCTCTGATTTTCCGTTCGTGTTATGTGTCCCATGCATATAAATTATTCAACTAATTTCATGCAATTTTCAGACAAAAAAATATTGACAGTTCTGAAAAATTTCACAATCAGCTCGATTTTGTCATTCAAATTCAGTGCACAACATGGTTAGGTCGACATAAAAAGAATGAATTAAACGAAATCACACTTAAATTGAGGTAAACAACTTACCTCCAACGCCTAGATTAACTTTAACTGGGCTCGTGTCTTCCACATAAAGCTTGTTCAATGCAAACACTTCAATTTTGGGTCCGACCTCAACATTTGCAAAAATACTGGCCATTTCAATTTCGGTTCAATAATCTCACGTTAATGTACACGCTCTCGCTCTATCTATGACACAAATGAGAAATACTCTCTCCCCGATATAATGTCAAAGCAGAATCTATTTTTTTTATATCAAAAAGATGAAAACAAAAATTCACACACAAGCGTAAAAAAGAAGAAGAGTAACAACAACAACGCAGCGTGTACCAAAGATTTCAATTCACCCAGCCAAAACTAAATGAAAATGAAACAAAAAACGAATATGATGCAAACGATTGCTTCAGTTGCAAAGCGAAAATTAAAACTGAAGAGCGACAAATGATTGCGATGAAATTGTTGCGAGACGAAACTTATGAAATTTTTGTTATGCAAAATGTGAATGTGACACACATAGACAGGTCAGCTGCTGGAAATTCAAGCAATTTTCTATACATGCAAATAGTATTCTTATACGACAAGTGCTTATCTGCGCTGTTGTTTGACAGTTTGTGTTTGTACGACGATTGTATGTATTGGTTCGTCGGGCTGAACATTTTTCAAGTAGTTTTCACATACACTCGACTCGCTCAATCGCTCAATCGCTCAATCGCTCAATCGCTCAATCGCTCAATCGCTCAATCGCTCAACACAATTTTGTTTTGATTAGATAAGCGGTAACCGATGAACAATTTTGATTACGCCATCATTTGTAACGCTTTTAGTGATGCATGAGTGAATTCAATGGGATGATTAATTTATATTTTTGCAATCGAAGCGATATGTCAATTTGGCAGCGATTTGTTGCCAAGACGAGCGAGAAAAGACAACAACAAAAATGTGCAGACGTTTCAAGAGCTTATCATTCATATATTTCGCTCAATTTGAAATGGAACATTTCCACAAACATTTTTGACTAAATAAAGTAAACATCAATTTTAGCTTATCGCTTTCTCCAGCCTAATTATACATTGGATTTCCAGGTGCTTTTTTCTCTCTCATCAAATCAGACCCACAGATTTGAGTATCCACTTGAATTGAAAGTCTAACAACACAAATATTCTAGCACAATTGAAAGCAGTGGGTCGCAGCCAGCGCCATCTTTGTCAAAATGAAACCGCATGGAAACTGGAACGACGAGTCAAGAAAGAGGAAAACATTGAGAGGTACAAAATAAAAACAACATCAATGTCAGTCGAACAAACTCCAGTGTGAACTGCGTCCATATTTCTATTACTGTACGATAGACAGAAGAAAAAAATTCATTGCATTTTTTCGTCGAAGACAAAATTCTCGGTTGGTGCACACTATAGACGATTGCTATTGGCAGAAAAGTATTTATTACGGATAAAACAATAGAATGGGAGCCGTTTTGGGCCTCGCATCAGTTGCACAGGTAATGAAAAATAGAGAAAAAAAAAATCAGACAGAGCATTAAAAATGTACAAAGACCAGATGTCATTTTTCTCTCTTTATCATATATGAAGGAATTGCGCATTATTGTTTTGATATCATTCGAACTTTTATGGATTTATGCATTTATCATGTTTTCGTATCTAATTCAATTAATGCAATGAATGTTTGTCTAAATTTAGCCAAATTGAACAGAAAAACACAAACACACACACACACCAATGCGTAATTGTACAGTGTGAAAAATCGATACTACTTAATGTCATTCAGACGGATGATTCATCTTTATGACGAAGTGATAACTTAGTATTCGTTTGTGTTTGAATTTTTATTTTTATTTTTTCATAGCTGGCTTGTTGTTGTACCGGCACTGCTTGTTCGTTGTGCTGTGCAGCATGTCCGTCATGCCGAAATTCCACATCCACACGATTGATGTATGCAATTATGTTGCTCATCGGAGCAATCATCTCTGGCATAGCTCTAGCGCCCGGGCTGCAAGATTGGTTGAAAAAAGTCCCGTTTTGCGCCAATTCCACGTCAACCTCATCACATTTTATACCCAGTGAAGTGACGGCCGACTGTTCGGTGGCTGTTGGATATTTGGCCGTTTATCGTATCTGCTTTGCGTTTGCTTGCTTCTTTGCTCTGATGGCGGTTATAATGATCGGTGCACAATCATCACGTGATGCACGGGCTGGCATTCAAAACGGTTTCTGGGGCATTAAATATTTGATTGTAATTGCAATTGCGGTTGGAGCCTTTTTCATTCCGAATGGCGAATTTGGTACAATCTGGATGTCGATTGGGCTGATCGGTGGCGTCATATTTATTCTCGTTCAACTTGTGCTATTGGTCGATTTTGCACACAGTTGGGCCGAGACTTGGGTTGGTGAGTAATCGCACACATGCAAATCTTTTAATTCCATCTGATTATTTGTTATGCACCATAATTTTTATATAATGCGAAATTCTATCTTACAGCCAATTACGAGGAAAATGAGTCACGTGGTTGGTACTGTGCTCTGTTATCCGCTACTGCCATTCAGTATGTTGTAGCAATTACTGGCATTGCACTGTTGTACACCTATTACAACTGCGGTGTTAACATAGCATTGATTTCGCTCAATTTAGTACTTTGCCTATGTGTTAGCATCCTCTCGATTATGCCCCAGGTGCAAGAACGTATTTCACGATCGGGACTGCTTCAAAGTTCCGTTGTCACATTGTATGTCGTTTACTTGACATGGTCGGCTCTCTCTAACAATCCCAACGAAAAATGCCATTCGGAAATTTTCCCATCTGGAGGTAGCAGCAAGGTAAAATATGCCGTTAATTTCTCCATTGATTTGCGAAGAAATTTCAATTCACACAAAGATTTTCTAATGAGATTTTTTCATTTACTTTTTGCAACTTAAATTCTGAAACTCGGACACACATTTTAGATTACAATTGACAAAACCAGCATCGTTGGTATGATAATTTGGATGGTTTGCTTGCTCTACAGTTCATTAAAATCGGCATCGAAGGTGTCGGAGCTAACAGTGCCCGATGTTGAAAAGCAAGGTAGGTCATTTAGCATGTGCATGCTCGTTTTATGTATGTTATGTTCGCTTCATTCAGAATGAAAAAGAAAATACATGGAGAGTGAAAAGAAAAATCGTTCATCATCAAAATTGCGCTTATTAGAATAGACCCTGTTGTTTTGGGCTGGTTCAGCATGCGTTAGAGCATCGATAGAGTTTTGGCCAAATCATTCATGTCATTCTTGGTGTATTTTATGTAACAATTACTAACTGAATGTCATAGTCAACTGTTAACCAAAATCAGTGTCGTCAAAAAAAAAATCAAACAGAAAAAGAAATTCTCTCTTTGTCTAACTCTCAACATTTCTCTCTCTCTCTCTTTCTTCTCCCGTTCGCTCCATATATTTTGTTCAAACTGCGCGAAAAAAATACAAACACATACGTTTTTTTTCTCTGTCATTTCCAAATTGATTAAATTAACCAAGTATTAACAGCCAAAGAAAGTGGAGAGTCTCACAAACCGATCGATTCAGGTGACAATGGCGCTAAAGTTTATGATAATGAGGAGAATGGAGTCGCTTATTCTTGGTCATTGTTCCATGTCGTATTCGTTGCTGCCACACTCTACATTATGATGACGCTTACCAATTGGTACCAGTAAGTATTGAACCTGTGATGAAGAAGTGGATTCGGTACGTGGATGAAAAATAAATTGATTTTTTTTCATTCTTTCAAGGCCAAATTCCAAACTCGAGACATTGAACACGAATGCAGCTTCAATGTGGATTAAAATCGTTTCCAGCTGGGCATGTGTTGGCCTGTACGGATGGTCATTGATCGCACCAATCGTATTAACAGATCGTATCTTCGAATAAAGTACTGAATATTTGAGATTATGAACAAATGCTATACCATTTTTTTTATGCTTAAATCGCATACATTACACTAAATATACAGCTTAAAACGATCACCATAGAACAGTTTAACCAAAATGAAACTGAATGTATGTCATTATTGGAAATTAAGAAATGGATTTTTTTTAGTTGAACTTATTCAATTCAATTTATTATTATAAGCATTACAATCAATGTTTTGACATAAGTAGGGAGAACAGAAAAAAAGAACGATCTAAAAAGTCACACTTAATGTACTTTTCATTTATTTGTAAACCTTCTAATAAAGTTAAGTGTGAACCATACACGTTGCGTTTTACTCTGGAAGGTAATTTTTTTCCAAGGAAAAATTGGAACATGATTCAAAGTATGCATGCTTTGTTTGGATTATCTGGGGCATTGAACTTGCGTTTCTTCCTTTTTTTCGTGTCAAACAACCGACTCAAACAATTGCTGACAATAACGATAACACAAGCATTCTCATTCATTTGACAAAACCGAAATGACATTTGTTGGTGTGCGTTTGTGTTTGCAGCGAACAACGTGCTGTCAAATGCCGATACTAACCTAACCTAGTTGAAACAGACGAATTCGATCAGACGAAGTATTTTGAGCATTTATGGAATTATTTTGGCATTTAAAAAATAGAAATAAATTTCAATAAAAAATAAATACAGTTTAATAATGTTTAAGGTAAGTAAACGGATTCTCCTGTTTGATTAGAAACACAATAAAAGTAAAGTGCTCTGTTTTTTCGATCAGAATTTGGTGACTTTAGTGACTGGTGGTGCGTCTGGACTTGGTCGTGCTACAGCCAATCGATTCGCGTTGAAAGGCTCTCAAGTGGTATTTTGTGACCTGCCAACATCCAATGGCCAGGAGATAGTCAAAGAAATCGGAGAGAATGTACATTACATACCAGCCGATGTGACGTCCGAGACGGATGTTCAAAATCTCGTTGAAGAAATATCAAAGAAGTACGGCAAATTGGATATTCTTGTGAACTGCGCTGGATTGGCCGATGCACATGTTACATACAATTTCAGGGCAAAAACACCCAGGAAATTAGATGACTTTGAGAAAGTGTTGAAGGTATGTTGGAACAGAAAAATTGAACAAAATACGCAAACTTCAAGTTGAATGTTGATGATAAACACCCCGTTTTTGTGTACATTTTCAGACAAATGTTTTGGGAACATTCAATGTGATTCGACTATCGGCTGGACTGATTGGTAAAAATGAGCCCGATGAAAATGGCCTGCGAGGTGTCATTGTGAATACATCGGGTACCGAAGCGTTCAGAGGAACTTTGGGTCAAACGGCACTTGCCGCAGCATGCGGAGCCATTCACAGTATGACACGACCGTTGGCACTTGACCTGAGCGATCAAGGAATTCGTGTTGTATCGATTGCACCTGGTTTTATTAGGACACCATTGCTTGACTATATCCCAAGCGAAACAACCGAAGCCATTTCACAAGAGTGTATCATTTCACCGAAACGATTCGGCGATCCAGATGAATTCGCCCATGTTGTACAATCAATTGTAACAAATCCATACATAAACGCAACCACCATTGAAGTGTCCGGCGGAATTCAAATGAATCTGTAAATTGATTCAATAGATTGTATGTGGGACGTTAGTCATAGAAAATAAAATTTAAAATCAATTTGATAATAAAAAAATATGTATTTTTCCATCTATCCCAAAGTATTTTGTAAATTCTTAGTATTTAAATAGACCGTAAAGAGCGTTTAAATTGAAAAAAATTCCATTTACACGTCCATTTATACAAATTTCATCATTCATAGTCTGAGCAGTACATTTGAATTGTCCACAACGGTAATACGTTCATCTAGACACTTTGAACAAAGAATGACACTGACGTTTGATGTTCTATAAACAACGTGGTGTCAAATGTTGACTCTAACCAAAAATCTCATTCAAATTCACTTGCCGCACATTTTTTGTGGAAAAACATAGAAATACTTAGGGAAATACGAGCTCTTCAATAAGATCAATAAAATGTTCAAGGTATTTACTTATTTAAAATCAATTTAAATTCATTGATTTGCAATAACTCAATTGACACGTTTTGAATGTAGAATTTGGTAACTCTAGTAACTGGAGGAGCAGCTGGACTTGGACGAGCTACAGCCGAACGATTTGTGAAGAAAGGTTCACAAGTGGTGATTTGTGATTTACCTACATCAAACGGTGCTGAAGTTGCTAAAAATTTGGGAGAGAATGCTTTTTACGTGCCAGCCGATGTAACTTCAGAGGAACAAATTCAAAATCTCGTCGATGAAATATCCAAAAAGCATGGCAAACTAAATGTTCTCGTAAATTGTGCTGGACTCTGTAACGCATATGTCACATACAATTTTAAAACCGGCAAGCCGAGGACATTGGAAGATTTCCAACGCGTTTTGATGGTATGAATATTCTCTTCTTCTATTGAAAATCAATGTCTGATTCGCAATAGAATCTTCGATATAGTCCATATTTTGTGAATCGTTGATTTAATAAGAAAATTATGTTTCTCTTCGAAAAAAAATGGGCAGACAAATGTCTTAGGAACATTGAATGTAACTCGATTAGCTGCTGGATTAATAGCTCGAAATGAGCCCGATGAAAATGATTTGCGCGGAGTCGTTATAAATACATGTGGTACCGAAGCATTCAATGCGGTAAGTGGTCAAGTAGCGAGTGCCGCTGCTGCTGGAGCAATTCACAGTTTTACCGTACCACTTGCGCACGACCTCGGAGAGCGTGGCATTCGAGTGGTATCAATTGCGCCTGGTAAGTATACGTTAGCTTCATTGTCATCTGAATCAGTCGATTGGTTAGACTCACCACTTCTTTTTGCAGGTATGTTTCGAACAGAATTGATCGATCAATTACCGACTGAAACGGAGGAAGCTATCACATCGGAGTGCATACTGGCACCGAACAGATTGGGCCATCCAGATGAATTCGCCCATGTTGTACAGTCAATTGTAACGAATCCATACATCAATGCAACCACTATTGAAATATCCGCGGGGCTCAGTTTGAGCATGAATCCATAGTTAGTTAATTAAGTTAGTCCAACATTTGAATAAAAACTAAAAGTCAACAAAATCATTTGTATTTGACAAATACTATTTGTTAATATTATTTTGAAAAAAATGAATAAATTGCATCTATTAATATTCATCGTTGAAATGCAATTAAATTTTTGCACAGAAATTGAAAGTATTTTATGGCATTTCGAGACGATTACTTCATATCGTGATTTTATACTTGTCACTCATAAGGCGTTTTTCCGTGACGATTGTCGTACTTCATTTGTATGCAAGAAGTGAAACCAATTAACCGAGAAAGAGACACAACTTACCTGTAATAACAGCGAAACGAGTCATTTGAAGCCAAGACATTCTCGAAAAAAAATTCAGGCGTTCAAATATGCATGCAAAAAATTATTTCATTATTTCTCTTTATTTAATATGTTTTATTACTTTTTGATTTGTTTTGGGTGATTTTTGGTTCTCGTTCGATTTCAATATTTTATGAACAATCGAAAAATGCCTATTTTCGTCTCTTTTTCTCTCCAAATTTCCCAAAATTGTTGTTGAAAGTCGAATCGTGCCTTCGAAAATTTTCCATTGATTTGTTTATGTGTTTTGATCATTGTTTCAAATCTATCAAGTACATCCGAAAACCCGATGACGTGACTTGGTAATAAATTAATTTGAAATAATTTGCAATTATTGTCGCATTCATTTGTCGCACTTGAACTTCCTTATTCGTTGCGAAGTAGTGGCCCACGGTGGTTTTGGTTCAGCTACCTTTTGAATTCATCCAAAATGTAACATTCGGAAGCACAAAAGATCAAACTCATATGGATTGATTCATGTGACACAGAATGTGTAGTGAAATCACAATCTGATTCTAAATGAAATTCGGCCAATGTTGATCGATAACCTCGACGATTTACATAAGCGTTCTATAGCGGCGATAGATGACTTGGAAATTCATTACTGGAATATTAATCGGTTGTACAATTAATGAAAACCAATTTTGCTATAAAAGCGGCCAAGTTTGAGTGAATCGATATCAGTTTCATTTCAAGCCGTCAGCAAGTAACAAAGGAACAATGCAAACAATTGTGGTTTTATTTTTGGGTGTATTTTTGTGCGGTGCATTGGCCGAACCATTGCGATATCGTCAAGCTCAACAAGCTCGTGCCTCGGCTAAGCAAACCGATGGAGGTGTTGCACTTCAGGCCGAATTTGGCGGTTCGCCAAACGAAGCTAATGGAGATCAAGACAATCAAAACGATGAACAAAAACCAGAACAAGGAGTAACTGAACCATCAATCTATCAAAGTGCACCGCTGCCATATCCACCACGTGGTTGGGTTCCACTTGGTCAATTGCTTGTTTTGCCAGTTGCCGTACGCGAAAATGTCGAATCAACCACGACTGTTGAATCGACAACTTTCAACGACTCGGAAACAACGGAAGAAACCCCAACCACTGAATCACAAGCCACAAACAGACAATTGCAAGAAGTTGAAACGAGCGAACCAAAAACTAAACCATCTGCTGCACACAAAACGCGTCCAGGAGGACCAACGATCATAATTGTAAAAGGCAAAAAAGTGGGCGAATTGAAAGTGGCAGCAAAACAAGTGGCAAAGGAAGGATCGAACGATGAAACCAAAGAAGATACTGAGTCCGACGAAACTACAAATGAAACAGCCGACGAAGCCACCACAACTAGTGACCCAAAATCGGAAAATCTCGAAACCACCTCTGAACCAAACGCTGAAGCCGTCGATGTTGAAAAGAGCAACGAAGAAGGTAAACAAGCGACCAACGCACCAGCAGCTCCACAAACCGGTTCGTTTTTCATCCAATTGCCAGATGGAACATTCCAACGTATCGTTTATATTGCACCACCAACACCTCAGACCCAAACTGCGTTCGTTCCACAACCGGCTAACGTTCCATTCCAACAACTCAATCAAGCACCCAACCCATTCGGTTATAATCCAATCACCAATCCACGAATTGTCACCTTCAGCTCACAATACAATGCTTGGTAAAAAAAAAAAGATCTAGTAGGTTGTAACACAGCTGTGAATTTTTTTTTCTCTATCGAAAAATTAAGGTTGAAATTGTGAGAAATTTGTGAATTGAATGGAAATAAATGATATTTTTCTTGCAAAAACCAAATTCAAATTGTCTAAACATTTCATTTGCTAGTGTTGCTCGATGCGAGTGGCGACAGCTGCCACTGTGTGAGCATCGTCAATTTAATTGCCTGTCAAATCTGTAAACGAAGCGAAGTAACATTTATTTTGTGTATTGTCTTGATTTTAATTAAACTAAAAAAAACTATGTCTGATTACGACAAAGTACGAGTTGGTAAATTGGTTTTGAAAGGAGAATCGTCCAAGTAAGTTTCCATATTTTTAATTTTCCTTGCAAATTGAATGCAATGGTTTGTTCATTTGTTTCATCAGAGCAAAGAAGCGTAAACATAAACACAAGGATAAAAAGGAAAAGGGTGAGAAAAAACGAGCCATCGTGGATGAAGATGCGGTGAAACACGGTGGTTGGTGGAGAGCGACCAAATTTGAGGATATCGTTGGATCAGTTGCCATTGAGTTTGGCAAGCAAACATATATAAAAAGTTTGGACAATGGTCTTTTTACACTCGGTGCACCGCATGACGAGGGCGATGGTCCGACACCAGAAGAAATTTTCACGGCATTGGCAATCAATGAACGACACATTGCTCTAAAGTCTGGCTATGGCAGATATTTGCGAGTGGAAAAAGACGGAATTATCACTGGACGCTCGGAAGCGGTCGGCGGACTGGAACAATTCGAACCAGTTTTTCAGGTAAAAATAGTATAAAATCATCGAAACATACCTGGAACGAAACTTGTTTGCCATGAACATTAAAAATTAAAAAAATCTTTTGATTTGAAGGATGGAAAAATGGCACTACAAGCAGCAAACACTTTTTTCGTTGCCATCGATCCGGAAGATGATGCAGTTGTGGCATTGAGGAAGTCAGTAGGAGAAGCTGAAGTGTGTTCGATTCGTACGTGTGCGGTGAGAGAAATCAACGCAGTCGACGATGCACCTGTAGAAGAACAAGGCAGCTTAACCGAAGTTGAATTGAATTATGTGTAAGTGATGAATACAAATATAAATGATTTTGGAACTCAAAACTTATGGACATTCTGTTCTTTTAGCAAAAAATTTCAAAAATTCCAAGACAAAAAATTACGTATCAACAAAGAAGACTCCAGCTCATTGAAAAAAGCCAAAGATGAAGGCACTTTACATGAAACACTCTTGGATCGTCGTAGTAAAATGAAAGCTGATCGCTATTGTAAATGAAGAAAAAACTGATTGATTGAATAAATGGATTGATGAAAATGTGCCGAGATTGAATTGATTTTATTTCCTTTTGTTTAGTTATTTTTTAGATTCTGTGGGTGTTTATTTTTCGATATTTTAGTTTGTTGAAGAGTTAGATAGCCACGATTAAATGCCAACTTCTTTGCAAACTTGCTTGCAAACGACTTTTTTCCATTCGATTTTTAACCCAATAATATATTTTGCATAGTCGCCACGACCACTAGGCTGTTGCGGTGGAAGACTTTCATTCTGGATTCAAAAAATGATCTTCATCTCCATCGAAAAAGACCTATTCAAAGGTAAATAATCTATGGACATCTATGACAAAAAACATTATTATTTTCTTACTTTTGACATAATTTCACATTTATTTATATCGTTTTCTTCAATCTTTTTCCATTGATTCTATTTGAATAATTCATTCTAAATAAAAAGTTGCGTTACATTTAGATAAGATAATATATCTCAGGCAATAAATACACACTAAAAATGCGTGTAATGCTATCGGTGTGGCACCAATTCGTAAAACTTCCGCATACAATTCAATCGGAATCAATCAAAGTGTATGAAGATTGGTTGTGCCATCATTGCAATACATCGAAATTTTTAGTTGAAAAAGCTTATAAATTATCAAATAATTAAAAGTAAAAATTAAACGAAGAAAAAAACATAAAAACTAAAAATTTGAAAATAATTACAATACAAAAATACATAATTCGCTATTGACGTTTTTTTTTCTCTTTCTGATTTCTACTATTTTGCGTGTAAATTTCGTTAAAACAAAAAAAAGACTATTATCCGTTTCTTACACGAAAAAAATAATGGAGTAGTAAACATAGAAGCGAATGAAAATATGTGACAAGTTTAAAAAAGTGCATCAAAATGTAATAAATACAATTGGTTGGTTGTAATTGTTTATGGCAAATAAATTGATGAATGAATGGAGAGATGAGCTATAATATGGCATCGGTGTTTCGTGTTCTACACTGTATGAATGATTGCGATTTTTCTGAATTACGAGTTTTACTAGCAGCGTCACATGACTAAAAAAAAAGATTAAAATGCGACCGTTTTTTTCCGTTTTGTTATGTGAATTTGTACGAAAATTTAAATGTTGAAATTGAATGAAGTAACTGCGAGCATTTGATGCGATCTAATGGGATATTTGAAAAAAATATCCTGTGTGTGTGTGTGTGTGTGTGTTTTTTATGGTATTTGGTTTAATCACGGTGATTTTTCTTTTCAACGACTGTTCCTTGGCGAAAAAGCATAAAAAGAAATTGAGTCTCTTTCTATAGTAAAATCACCAATTAACTAGATTCTAATGCAAAATGTTCAAGTGCCCTGGATTCGATGTTGCTTTTAAATGACTTCCAAATGTAGACCGGTGTCTCGGGATGGGAAACAGCTGCCACAGTAACCACCACATGACGATGTTACTTTCTGATAGGGAGGTTCGAACTGGAAGGAGGAAATAAGAAGATAAATTAGATTCTTTTGAACAAAAAATGGAGAAAACAAAATGAAACTCACTCCATAGAAATGTTGAATGGCATTCATGCCACGCGTTTCCCATCGTGTCTTTGGCCTTATGCGAAACTTTGTATTTTCCAAATTAATCGAAAAGGCACCCCGTGGACACTGTTGTGTGGTTGAAAAACAATCACCAGCCGAACCGAATGGCTGCTGTCGTCTGCCGCTCGTTCGAGCAAATGTGAAATCATCGATTATCACTTGAAGCGAATGCAAATCGATTCGAACTTTTGAGAAATATGTTAACCCAGATGCAAGCGATGGATCCATCCATTGCTGAGATTCACTGACCGAACATTCATCTTTATTTCGGGATCGGCGATCGAAGTATAGAGAATAGTTCTCGTGATCATCTGTTCGATTAAAATACGGATTTTAATTTTAATATTAGAAAAAACTTCTTCCGAATGAATTGGAAAATTGAAGACCTACCTCTCAATGAAATGTACTCCTGTGGATTTGTAGAATTCATACGATGACAATAAATCTGCACCTTTCGTCCACGAACTGTTAAAAGATAATCACCATCCATTTTTACTCGGTGTGTCTTTTGCAATCCTTTGCATGTACCTAAAAGAGTAAAATCAAATTAGCCTTAGGTGTTCCCCGTATTATATCTTCTTTTTGGTGAATACATACAAGTTGCTGGTTGATCGCATCTCTTTTTCTGGTCGGGTTTGTTTGCATCCGGACAACTATTTGATTGACGATGCAATCTCATATCAAAGCACTGAACCCTTCGTTTGGTGTAGCCACTACATGAACACTGTTCAGAAGAATAATGATATAATGTTTAGCAAAGAATTTCCTTTTCATGAAATTTTTTATTTTCCCATCAATTTACCGGTTTCCATGGTCCAGCCTTCCATTTGCAATCACTTGTAATTTCACAGTGTTGCGTGGCTATTGGTTTTGCCTGATTTCCACACATCAGCTCATTCACTTTAGTGCCACTGAGCATACATTTGACCTCACGCGTTGAGTATCCCTTGCCACAGCCGACCGAACACTGTTTCAAACAATCAAGACTTTTAGACAGAAATTCGGATTTTTAGAATGTAATTTTTTCAACAATACCCTTGTCCATGGAGTGACCTCCCATTTCGGTGCGGCACACGCTTGTTTACGGCAAACTTTCATTTTTGGTATGAAGGGAGGTTGCTTCATGTGTTGGCAGTAGCGTTCTCCGACTGGTTGACCCTTTTTACGTACTTGAGTCTTAGCATTTTGGACTCGTGGGTATAATCGCATGCAAACACGTTGTCGACTACGCGTTCCATTTCCACATTCAGCGGAACACTGAACAGAAATCATCGTGAATCAAATTTCATTCCGAAAAGAAAGACTTAGAAAATTGTGTAATTTCTCACCGGTGTCCAAAGATTTCTCCATTTAAATTGGCAACATTCTTGAGTACTTAGTGGTCGAGTATTCAATGGACAATTCGTAATGTTGGCGTGATGTCGATCGTCCTGGCAGATGACTTGACGGTATTGCTTACAATTATCATTACACTGGAATGAGAAGAATTGACAATTCAATTAGATTTAGTCAGGAATAAAGACAAGTGACATTCGTTGTTTTGGTTTTATTACCTGACCCCAGTCGCCGGTTCGCCATTTCGGGCATCGTTGCTGAGCACAATTGGTAATGTTCACCGGTTTTTCTTCGACACAATAACGATCATCAACAACTTGATTCGAAGATTCACTAACGCATCGAACAGCCCGAATACGGTAGCCTCCGTCACAAGTGGCCGAGCATGGTGACCAACGACTCGTTCGCCAAAGGAATCGATAGCTGTAGCAAAAATCAATTGAGTATTTAAAAAATTTACTCTTGAACGAAAAAGTTTGACTTGAAAATTATTTATGCGTACGAATGAATATCGTGCGTCCAGCAAATGATGCCCTAGTTTTTATTACCTTTGTCTTGGCTGAGGGTATGTATTTTTTGGCGTTGTTGTAGTCGTCGTCGTCGTCGTCGTTGTTGATCTTGTAGTTGGTGCTGGTGTTGTAGTTGTGATTGTCGTTGTGGTGTAAACTTTCCTTGTTGGCGTCGTTCGATACGTGACAGATGGCTTAACGCCAGTATCGATCCTATTTCTATAACTAGTGATGATATTTGGGGAATTATCTCTCGAATATAATACTGGAGTTGGGGTGGGATTCTGTACAAAGAAAAACACACGGTCAAAATTACTTTTTTGCAATAATTATCGAATCACATAAAGCATTTAGCTGAAACATCGCCTTGGCGATAGCATTTATACAAAATATACAGAAACTGAATAATTAAATACTAAAATTACCAATGCCAATAAATCTACAGAAAGCTTGTTTTAAACTGATGTTAAAGCCACAATAAAATTGTGTATCAAGATTTTGAATTTCGGAGGATTACAATTACAACTACGTATAAATATCCAAAAGAATTTTGGTTCAGAATTGGAATTTGGTCGAAATATACAGAATTTTATCCGAATAAGTTGAATTTGGTCATTATAATTTCATTTCACCACCGTCCAAATTGGTTAAAATCAAAGAGATGAACACAAAGTTAGTCAAATTTAGCAACACAAAATTGAGCCCCACAATCGGTTAAAGCAGATAGCAGCAATGAGAGCACATTTTAAGCATTTTTTTTTGTGAACATGACGAATCGAATACCTTTCTCCAACACGGTTCCAACTGGCAACTACTGTATATATCTTTTGGCTTCGTTTTAGCATCGCACTCGTTTACATTGACTACTTTATTATTTTGTACACAAATCGCTGAACGAGTCTTATATCCGGAGCCACACGTTACCGAACACTGTCATTTTGAGCATGGATATTTCGTTTATTGTGTTACATAATTTATACACACAGGATACGTATGACCATCATGAGAACATTTAGGCATAATCGAGATACAAAATTGTGCCATATAATTTATAAATTAAAACGTTTACATGAATCATGTGCGCATCGTGAAAATGGATTGTGGAAATGGAAAAAAAGTAAAAAAATAAATTGTCGATTAGTTTTAGGCATCACTCGGGAGTGTTTCGCGTGAACAGAAAATAAAACGTCAAACAAAAACGTTGCTGCCACGTCAGTGCGATTGCTTTTGAAATTGATAATATGGAAAAAAGGCTTACCGCTGATTCATCGCCAAATTGCCATTTCGGACACTCGTGTGTGTTGCAAGCTCGTTCTAAGCTTTCTCTCTGTATATTTGCACAGTATTTGTCATCAATGATGTGGCCGCGATGATGTGAAGTACAATAGGCAGTTCGACTTTGAATTCCACCGTTGCATATTTTTGAACACTAAAGAAATTAACAAGAACATTTGGCATTAGTCATTATTTCGAAGAAATTCACTCAATTCAAAAAAAAAGATCTCTAACCGGTCCAAATTCTTCGTATGTCCAAGTAGCTGACGCACATGGGCCCATGCACTTTTCATAGAGTTTGCTCTTTTGACTGGTTGGACAATGTGAATCGTCGACGACCTTGCGATGATTCGATTGCGGGAATGTTTGTATACACGAATACGACAGTTGCTGAACTCCTTCGCCACATTCTGCTGAACATTTTGTTCGTTGAATTTCCCACCTAACCAGAACACAAATTAGCGACAACATTAATACAAATGACATTTTTATGACCGAATTTTTATCAAGAACTTTGTCTGTTCCATCAATTTGAATCTCTAAATTAAATTAAAAGCTCAAAATGAGTAATGGAAAAAAAAATACTGACTCAACGACGCATCCAACATTACAGGGTTGGTATTCGTCTTCTGGTTTTGGTTCACGGCACGATGACGGTGACACATGGCGTCCTGTATCGATTTGTACGCAAGCGGCCGTACGGAATTGTTCACCATCGCATAGAATATTGCATTCACTCCACTGTGACATTTCCCATTTGTACTGTACAGTTTGCGTTGGATACTGACGTGCCGATGGTTGTTGTTGCTGTGATCTCGAATTTGAATTTTGATTTTGATTGTAATTATACGGATAGAAATGAACGTGCGTATTTCGTGTTTCATTCAAATCCATCGTGTAGGAATATCGAATCAATTCATTCGTTACGAAATTGTCACTTCGTGATAAAATCTACGAATCAATTAAAGTAATTTCGTTAGTACTTGATGTGTCATACAGTTTCCGATTTGCGTGTAATTACCTCAATAGTTAAATCACGTTTTAGACGGCGTGCGAATGTTGTATTGACTTTTTCCAATGTCGAATTGGTTCCAGTGTATTCGAATGTGACTCCACCATAGGGGAAAGTTAGCGGATATTCCGTGATAACATTATGTCCATTAAAAATATACTCGCCTTGGTCGTCCATTAAAGCTATACCAGAAGCAATGAAAATTCGCTCGATGATTTGCAAATTTTTTTTTAATGTATTTTTATCTACAACTCACCGATATAATTGAGATCGTTCGAATAGCCAGGCTGTAGGATTTCAATATTTGCAGCTCCTTTTGGGATGATTGTTACATGGTAGTAATCTCGTGTTTTGCTGTACTCCTTTGCTTTTTCAATTTGCTCGGGTCGGAAATTGCCAACGATATCGATACAAGTATCATTGTTACCATTGCATACACCACATTTATCCAATTTCGAATCCGAATCCAACTGATTGTTACAACCAGCGGGACGACAGATTCCATTGACGCATTTATGAAAACTATCATGGCTACACGGTGTGCCATCTTTAACCTGCAAGATTTGGGATCATAAGCGATTTAGATCAATGAATCAAGAGTTGTTTTCAACCATTCTAGACTATTTTTTCTCTTTCGAGCCTTTCATTTTGGAAAATTTTCTCTCCAATTCATAAATTTTATCGATTATTTTTAGAATTGAATAGAAAATGATCATGTTTTCGATATAAAAACACTCACCTTATCATTCAATAAGAAGTAGTTGTTCGATTTCTCGACACGGCAGTATAATTTGCATTCGTCGTGTGGTGATTGACCATATTTTGGTACCCATCTAACATTCGCGTCAAGACCCTGAATGCCGAAGTTGTTGTTGTTCATTTCAGCACATTGCTGCTCACGGAAGTCTGGTGTGTCTGCAGGGCAATCGTGGATGTTGCATGATCGATACTTGATTCGTGTTCCAATACAATATTTTCCGCCATTGCTCGGGGCAGGAGAATCGCATTCACGTGTTGACGATTGAACACCGCCGCCGCAAGTTCGACTGCATTGATCGAATCTACAGATAACGAACAGTTATCAGGAAATTGTTAGAAATTCAATGTAAAATGCTATCCATAAAAAGTCAAGTGAAATCCTTCTAATTGTACGCTAGAATTCAATTTTTATGCTTGATAGTGTTTTTTGTATTACTAAGAAATGATGCATCATGATCTAAAATTGCAGTTTACTAATCAAGATCGAATTAATTTAATTTTTATCATCTTAAAATCTAAATGTTAAGATATCTCGATAACATCTTAATTCATCTAAAATCTATAGATAATTCATTCATAATTCTTACGAGTTCCAAGGTCCCCATCCGCCATCGACTTTGGTCAAAGCTTGGCGATTTCGTGGAACGCATTTTCCATGTTGACACCAATGGCCGGTACCGCATTCGGTTCCATCAGCCCAGGGAAGATGCTGTGTCTTGCAACCTTCATTATCACTGCCACACCAAAGCGAAACGCACGGTGGCTACAAGTAAAAAAACAAAAACAAACATGTTTCTTCCTCGATAAAGTTTTTGGGAATAAAAATCTCAAAATACGATTGAATGCATAACGATTAGTCGTGCAATGTGTCCATCTGTAAGTGTGTGGCATGACACTACGGTGCAAGTATACGTTCAATTTTGTGTGATTGTGTATATTCATGTTTGTGTATGTATTGTATGTATGTAAAAGAGTGTACGTGTATCAAATTGTGGAGAAAAAAAAAATACCAACAACGGTCAGGCAAAACAGTTAATAATTAATAAACTACATATTTACAAAAAAACCAAAAAAAAAAAATTGTCTCTACAAAATGACTACAACGACAGAAAATAAAAAATAAAACGGTAAATTTTGTTTTTAGAAACTCCCAAAAAGTTAAATTCATACAAAACATGCCCAGAAAGGAGGAAAAAAATGATTATTTTCGAATTGGCCAAAATATGTGTGCACACAGTGGGAAGGGAATACAAGGGGAAAACAAAAATAAATTTATCTACAACAAGGTGTGCATGGGTACAGAAAAAATGCTTGCATGTGTCAGTCCACTCACCTGATCAACTTTTCGACCTAAAATACTAACAGTGATTGAGAACGGGCAAACTTTAGTATTTGGCCCAAATGCCAATTCGCATTGTTGATCGGCTGGAAACCGTTCGCCGGCCAATAGCTGCGGTGATGATTCGATCATATCGTGCCGTGGTTTGTTCAACATACAAAAACCTCGATTGTGCCTACAATAACAAGAGAGATGAAAAAAAATGTTTTAAATCAAATTAAAATAAGAACTAGACCGTTCTGTGCTAAAGCATTACCAAGAACAAAAAGAAACATGTTTTCTGACACGCGCTTTATGCTTCGTTCACCACTACCTACAGCCTGAAACTGTTAGGTCAGCGTCATTTTGGACGAAATTCGTTGCAAGTGCACAAAAATGAACGATTGCTTTGACGTTATTTTTCCATTGAGTGACCGTAAAAATAATTGCATTCGTTGCGAAAATCATAACAGACCAAAAAAAAAATAAAATAAACGAGGTAAAGGTTACACATCGTATATAACAACAATCATGCGTTTCATACGCAAAGACAGTTTACGCACTTGATTCATTCAACGATACGAACAAAAAAATCTCTCTGTCTCTTCGAAACGAATTGGCAGAAAAAAATGCGTGTCGCATTCGCACCCAAACAAACAATAGGTGACCGGCCGACGATAGCAATTACTCGTGTAATTATCGTTAATGCGATGGCACAGACGAACCATTGCCGATCTAAATAAATAAACTAATTGAATTTATTAGTAATTTTAACCCAATCGTGGTGCAAGAAAGTCTGCAGAAAAATATGAGTTTTGCAACCGAAAACGGAACATCTGCGGCACCGTACATGGTGTTGACGTTAAACATCTTATTCGCAAGCCAATTGAATGGCAACGTATTGATCGATTGAGTGACAGAAGTCATGTGGTGATTAATTGATGTGCTACTTGTTAACACACACGGGATTTATTCGATTATATTGTGACACATAAATCAAGTGCGAAACACTCAATGTGCACCAATGACTGATTGAATTTTATTTCACTCTTTTTTTTGCCATAAATATTTTATGATTCAATGCAATTCAGAGTTATTTGCTTGCGACATGAATTGCAAAAAAAATATTCCCAAACACCAAACAGTAGCATTGACGATGTGACGGTCAAAATGATCAAATTGTCTCTCGCTCCCTGCATTGATTGGGAATTCAATTAATTTTCTAACGCGAAACAATTGAATTTGATGTTCCATTACATGACCGAAAGGCACTTTAGTCATTTGTTGCAATTAAAACCAACTGAAATGCTCTTTCGATCGAATTCTTAGTTGAATTCCAACGCCAGTTGATACGTAAATTTTGCAATACGATGCGGTGAATATCAAAGGGAAAAAAACATAAAATCACGCAATAAACAATTTCTACTTGAATGAACGATGGAGATTTTGTGTGTACAATGCAGGAAAGACGGTTGTAAATCACGCATCAGCTTTTGGTCACAATTTACAAATGCCTATGATTGATCATACTAGAGGTATTGGACATTTATACACACACACGGGCCTATACTATTCAATCCGATCAAGTTTAATTGGTCTTAATAAATTGAGTCGATCATAGTGTTTTAAGCTACTTGTAACCGGTTTACTACTTCGTATCTGATGTGGATTTAGTAACATTTAAGTCTATTGCGAGAGAAAGAGAAAACCAATTTTGACTGTGCGTTTGCATGTGGTCATTGCTAGTACACACAATACGCGGTGCGTGCAAATTTACAACGAGCGAATAATATCAGACAAAGGTGCTTAATCACAATTAAGATTGACATCTTGTTAAATCGCATTAAAGTCAGATAAATTATTATTTTATTTATATCGCATTTCCAAGTCAATCTTATCGCAATGGAATACGAAATAAAAATCTGAAAAACTGGAGGCGTTTTAATCACACTTGAGCTGAAAATTCACTTTTCACTTACTCTAGATACTCGGTGACATAATGACGCGAACAAGCCGACCACGACCAGGGATGTGTGTTGTCGTCTAACATTCGAGCCATTATATGCTGCGAACTGCTACCGTCTTCATTACGAAATCGGGCACATTTGATGTCATCGTCATGGGGCATGCTCAAACTGAATTCGAAGGGAAATGGGAGAAAATGGTAGAAAATGTAATGAATTTTTAACGAAAAATGAGTTTCAAAAATCAAAAGCAGTCGAAGAACAAAAAAAACGGTTAAATGATTTTTGAAAAATCAGAAAATGTAACAAAAAATGGGCTAATTTCGATAAATCTACTTACACATGTCCCAATTCATGGGCAATGGTGAATGCCGCTGAAAGTCCATTGTCTTGGACGATTGCACACGACGATGGTCGGCACATGGTACCCAATTCCGCCAGTCCCAAAGTATCACATTTCTTTTGATTTGCATTTCGGCAAATTTGTTCTCTGCAAATTGGTGAGCACATCGTGTTAGGAATTTTTTTTTCTTCTCTGATGAAAATGCCAAGAAATTCGTTACCTTGTTAGCAGAAGAGCGGTGTCATGATGGAATTGATGATGTTGCACAAACTTACAGAATCTCGATAGCATCTGTGAAGCGGATACACCTAAGCACCAGAGACAAAAATAACCAAACATTAAATCCAAATGGAAAAACGCGTCGTTGCACAAGATTGATATTTACAGTGCCAAATGCAAAAGTATTTACAAAGTGCATTAATTTTGATCGCGTCTTTGAGTTTCAAATGTCACATTTGTTTTGACAAGCCCAAAGCTGTGACGAAAAAAAAGGCGAACTAAAAAGAGACGAACGGACACCCACTCAAAACTAGATTGAGCCTAGCAACTTGAACAAAAAAGATGTGTAATTGAATTCGTTGTATGACTAAGCTGACGATGTGAGTTAAAAAGGATCGTCATTGTCACACACAAAAAAAACTCCATTCTTCTTTCGTTCGTTTCGATGCTGAATGCGAAGGTTGTGTGTGTCTCTCACACGTCTCATTCTATTTATGTCATCGGATTTAATCTGAAATACGAAACACTTACCATTGTGATTAGATTCCATATGCAAATCGTCTCTGAGATAGAAGATGTGTACGACGGCCACATTGATCGAATTTCCAATGCTAGCATCGGCATAAATATTCGATACGATTGACATTAACGTTAGCACATACTCTTGAATATTGTTGCCATGGTATTCGTGCATTTTGCGATCGACAGCCACCATCACTTCCATTGTGTATGCGTTATTATCGCCTGTGTTACTGCTTGGAAAGTTGATGTGTCGCTTTCGTCGAGACAACCGTGGTGGAGATGTGGTCGTTTTCGTAGTTGTTGTCTCAAAATCTGTTGCACTTTCAGTGCCTTCAGTACTTTCAGTGGGCTCCAAAGTGAAATCTTCCAAATCGTCCATCTGTTGCGTTGAATCCATAAACGAAGCCATTGTCGAACTATCAACCGACTCCGTCGATGAAGTCCAACTTTCAGTGGCACTCGTTTGATTGTCCTCACTACAGTCTACACGATTAAAAATGATGAATAATAAAAATTAAAAATATTGAATTAAAAATAGAATAAAATCGCATCGTAAATTTCAAGTTCAAAACCGTTACATTTTCTTCGACCGCCGATCCGTCAATTCAATTCTAATTAAACCATTTATCCAATTATAAATAATTACAACTTCCAGCATAATGATAACAATCGGCTGGTACAGATCGAATATGACAGTTGCGTCGGGTTTAATTAGTGCCGACCGAAGTATATCATGTTTTACAAATTATCGCGCCATTATCTCTCTATCGTCGTAAATTGTTGTGGCATGCAAATCATCATGCATTTTCGACGATGATAATAGTAATTTGTGGATAATATTTTGTAATTGTTGCCCGTCAATCGATCACATTGATCGCCTTGACATCGTGTTAGATCCAGTGAATGGCGCCGCATTTTGCACCTGATTACTATATTTACAACCAAGCAACCGATTTCCCAGTCTTTTTATGGTGAATTTGCATTGAGCAATTAGATGTTAAATACGAACGTCACTGTTTTTTTTTTCATTCGATTATAAAACAGTTTGCCAGAGAGAGAGAGAGAGAGAGAGAGAGAGAGAGAGAGAGAATGTGTGTATGAACTCCTGCAAAATGATGTGTTTATATCGATCGTGCGAATAAACGAATAAATTCATTTGACGAACTCAAGAATATTTTTCCCATGAGTTGTTACTCCGATGAAACCTACAATTTGTTTCGTTGATTTTCTTTATTTTTGGCACTTTCCATATAAACACATCACATATAATTTTCTTTCACTTCCTTTCCGCATTGAAAGCTTGCTTTTATTCGCAGTCAGTTTCGTGCTGCGAAAACGTTCGCAACTATGACACCATGATTTAGTTGATCTTTAAATCGCGTCGAATATGTGATTCTTCTTTTCAAGCTTGTGTGCCTTGATTAACGGCGAAATGTTTCGCTCGTGACTATAATTAATTCCATCATTATTGTAATTACTTTACTTGAGACGTGTGAGATTTACAAGCGAATGCAACCAGAAAATCGGCGAGAATTCAGACGAATAAAAATCGCAGGCAGAGAGGGAAAAAAGAATATTTGAACACGGTGTTGACTAAAGAAATTACCGAAAAAAATCGTCGTAAATTTCGTTGCGATTGATTTATATAATGTTGGAGCTATAGTTTGTTCATCTGTTTGAGGTTGCATAAGCGCAACTATAAAATATGAAGCGCTTGGGTGAGAAGCTTTTATTAATGGTGATTATTGCTTTTCGCTTCTACGTTTCGTCGTTCGTGCGTGTATTAACTCTTCTCTCTTGGTCTTGATACACGACGCATCGCGAAAAAAAGCGTGGAGAGAAGTAAGATAAAAAAAACACCATGAAATGATAATGGTTGGCTATTTGTGAATCGTTTTCTGACACTTTAACGATCATCCTCGTTGTGGCAGACTTTTTGGCGCAATTGTCAATGCAGCTTGTTAACGCGCACGCTCGATACAAACAATATGTCACTTTGTAGTGGGAATTGTGGCTACAATGTTCCATTTATGCGTGTGAAGCAATCAATTTACCCATTTTCCATTTATTTTTCGCCTCTTCACACTTTCTAAACTGATTGAATTGCACGACGATAGAAAGGCGATAACTCTTTTATGACAAACGGTAACGCTGGATGATAAAATAAGCGAATTGTCCAAACTCAATCGATCACATTGAATCGCTTTTTGTTTTCACAGCCATTTAGTCTAATGGCTTTTTGTCGAATCGCTGGAGTCGTGCCAATCACACAATTATTGAACAACATTGTAGAAAAAAAAGCGTTGGCAACAACAAAACAAACACATTTTCATTGTTGAATTCGCGCTAGATTCCATTCGAAGTGCATTTAAAATTGCACCAGAATTTCTACTGAATAAAAATGGTTCGCGTTTTTGTTTCGTTCGAATAAATCCATACAACACCCTGAAATCATCTCATCAACCGGCATAAACAGAACAACAACCCAATACTGAAAAAAAGCCACAGCAACAACAAACAACATCATCAACGAAAAAAAAGAACTGTGTTAAAAGAAAATGTGACAATAATGTTACATTAGCAGAAATATTTCGCAAGGTGATCCACTCAAATCAAGTTTATTTATCAAGTCTGTGCTTTTTTTCTCTCTCTTTCTCTCTCTGTCACTTCGTCTAGTGTTTTGAGCGCGCATTCTCGTAGAATTCGTATTCGATCGGTTTGTTTTGTGTGTTCCTCTTTCGACGGTCGATTCGTATCAATTGAAATTCGTTAATTTTGTGATGAGTGTCATTTGTCAGCCCGTGATTTTTGATCGAGAGTGAAATCATCGGCCGGTTCAACAGCAGCTGTGATCATTATTCATTAGCAGAAAAAAGTCAAAAAGTTCACTTTGTTTGGATTTCGTGCGCGCGTGAGACTGACAAATGTAATTCATTTGTAGTTTTCGCACCAAATTCACCAACGTTGTTCTTTTGTGTCAGTTAAACCTTTGGTGTTTATCAAAGTGAATGTTTAGACCGATTTTTTTTCGAGATTGGCTCGTGTAAGTTTTGCAGTCCATTAAAATTGCTTCAACATCGCAACGGCTCTAAATCAAAGGCCATAGATTTTACATGCATTGCATTCATTGATTGCACTTATCCCGTACGATGATCGATTGATGGACTTTAGAATTAAAAATAGCCGGCGAGTAAATGCCGTTTGACGTTAAGCAGATGCACGCTTTCTGCATGCACACAAAAACCATCGAAATTCTCTTTTTGTAACATCAAAAACATCGTGTGCTGTGAGTCAAAATGTCAAATACCAACACAGCGGAGAAATGTTGCTGCAAGGAAAAAGAATTGCAACAAAACTTTAAAAAAACCCGTTTCGATCAAAACATTCTAGTGATTATAATTATCGATTTACTGAAGCCGGCTGCTAACCATACGGCTTTTTTATTTGGGCTACAGTTCAAACGGACGCTCTCTATCTCCACTGCTCACATCTGGTTTGCTTTGAAAACATCCTATATTTAGACTAGTTTGTCTCGATGACTGCAAAAAACCGATTTAATGCTTTCTTCGAATCGATCTGGGCGATTTGTGAACTAACGGTCGGATGTTTGAATGTTTTATTTTTTTTTGAATGTTCAACGCGGAAATAATGTGATTACATTTAGGTCAAAGAGTCAAAAATATACTCTAGCTCTACTTACTCTTTCCATCTTCCGAGGTGCAAGTAACAATGGGTGCGTCCAAATTATCAGTCCCATTGTTGGTTGTTGTTTCACTCAAAATGCTCTCATTTGAATCGAGCTCATCTTCGATTTCCTGATTCAATTCATCGTCTTCGTCGATCTTTTCGTCGTCATCTTCATGCAGCCCGATTTCATCCACCAACACCTTTCCGTTGCGATACGTATCGATGCTCACTTGATCGATCGGTAGTTTCTCTCGTGTTATTTTGTGCAGAATATTCTGATTGTCTAACGTGTATTTCTCGACTGGTTGAATGAAAAACGATCCGGACGAAGTGTAAATATGACCGCGCTGCAAAAATAGAAGCACAGAAATTTCGTGTCAAAAACCAAAACATTGAATTGACGATAAAAATGAGCGAATGATTAACCTTTTTAGTATTCCACATGATTTGAAATTCGTTTTTCGTGTGCAAAATGTTTCGAATGCTTGAGCGTTGTGTCAATATTTACATTTTCAAATCTAACAGCTTAGCTTCTCGTGTTTTTTTTTTGCGGTGTATTTGTGTTATGAATGCATATTTATAAATGTTTAAATATTTGCATAGGTTTTTTTGTGTGTGTGTGATGCGGCTGTTGTATGCGGTTTTTGTAAATCATTTAACACCATAAATGTTCGGCTTGTTTTTCCGTATCAAATACATCGATAGCACGTTTTTTGCCTTCATTCTCATTCAATTTTGCATTTATGTCATCTCAAATGATCAAAGTACACACACTTCTTCCACATTTAATTGTTTATTTCTTTTCCTGATTTATGTAGCTATTTAATGCGTCAATATTTGTCTATCACCGCAGCCACATGAGTTTGTACTTCGTTATATTTGCAACTGAATCTGTCGTTCTGTTTGTTTGCATGTCGACGTGAGGGAGATGGGGTCACAAAGACGTTCTGTCTTCAGAAGCGATCGTTTATTTTTAGGAGATTTTTTTCATGTTTTATGATTGGTAGGCTGGCAAAAAGTGCAAGTAGTTGCTTAATTGTGAACTCACTAAATGTACATCATTTTGCTTTGAATCTTGCTTAAGGAGAGAAAAGTTCAAAAACATCACAATTCGAACACGATTTACGGATTGCTTCCAAAAAGCAGTTGCATAATCATTATTTTGCATTTATTCGTTGATTTTTCATCGTTACCGTTTAACGTTTAGAATTTTTCGTGGAATTCAATCACGAAGCAATTGTTGAATACCGTGTTTGTCCACATTTCATGTGTAATTTGATACAAGTTTGGTTATTGTATCAGGGGAAACAAACATCGAAATTCGAATCAACATCTTCATTAGGCGTTGCCAAACACTTTGACCTTTATCCGTGGCATCATCGCTAACAAGCTCGATTGACGGCTTTATTTTTGCGATACATACATATACACCCACTGACCAATTTTTATGGCTCATTACTTCATCGCAACTTGCAAATAGTTTTCAGCACCTTGTTCGACAACACGTGCCGATATTGAGTCAAAACAAAGCACGTCTTGATCGAAATCAAACAGTATTTGCTACTTTCAAAATGAATTAATCGAAGAAATAGATTTCCGAAAGGATTTGTTTTTTTTTTTAACGAATTGGAGTTTCTGAAAGAATTTGATCTAAATCAAAGAATTTGAATAACGACATAAGTGAACAAGCCGTAATTCAAGTCATTCAGCAAAGGTCTTTCAATTAAATGGCAAAGCGATGAATGAAAACTCGAAACTTCAATTGTAAAACAAAGAAAACGTATTATTTTTACAGACAATAGGTGCTTAATGGGTCACCACACATTTGCGATTGTTTGTGCCTGTGCCATTCGATGGTTCATTCAAAATAATTTCCAAGTTGACAACAACAACAGCGGCAGCAGCAGCAGCGCTGGCAGCAAAAGTTTTCAATTCATAAAATCGATGGCAACCGATTCATTTAGTGCGAAGAACAAATTGTATCGCAGCCGTAATCGACGGCCACAAATGTGACCACATCAGCGCAAACACGCTCTGGGTAAATAGGCCTTTTTGTTTCAATCTGATTTTTTTCTCTGTCGTTGTACTACTTTTTCGAAGTCGAGTCATAATGTGTCGTTAATGTTTTATTGAGTGTTTACATTTGGCATTATGTATGTGCACTGTTCAGTTTGGCTATTGAATGTTTTTTTCTCCAACAGGCGATATTTGCATTTGACACATAACAATAACAGATCAATGACTACCAATAACGAAAACAAGCCGATTTTCAAGCGTCACGCGAGCGCTAATGAATGGCATATCGATCACTGTTTACATTATGCTGCTTACACAATCCCAAACATCGATTTGCATAACAAGTGAGAGAGACGTGATGCGACGCGATCGTATGAGTGAAACTGGAAAAGCGGAACATCACCTACACATGAAACCGATACTTAAGACAAGCTTTCGGAACATTAAAAGGCCTTAGGCCCTTTTCAATTGACGTCAAAAAAACAGTTCCGCGTCATTCTAATTGGTTACACACACAGAACTCATTTTCTATACAATGTATTCAATTAGTTTCCAATACCATTTTTATTCTCGTTTGTCACTTCAATGACTGAATTTGGTCATCAATCATTTTAATTTCGTATGAAAAACACATTTATCCAAATGAGAATATTTGGAAATGGGATTTGAATTTCGTATCTTTTTTTTGACCGCAAAAAGAATCATTTGTCGAATTTTAGACAGCAATCTAATGAAGTGCACTTGCATTCATGCCCATTAATAACAACGCGGGCCGTTTGTCGTGTGTTTTCGTTCTATTCAATTTATCATGTTTTTCGCTCGTTATTTATTGTTACCCAACGAAAACTCTATACAAGACACAAACATCGCTTGAAAAGCCTTGCAATGGCTTTTTGAAAGTGAACATGAACTTAGAGTTCAGTATAATTAAAGAGTTTCGTCGTTTCCATTGACAATTTGAAAACAAGCACATGTTTTTTTCCTTATTCTAACAAACCACCACAAGTTGTTGGATGATTGAAATCGAACACAAAATGAATGTTTATCACTTACCATGCCATCGCACAGCGAGACAGCGACCGCCGATCGATCATCCGTTCGAACGCGTCCACGATAAAAACAATTGCGTAATTCTTCGTGCTCGCGAATATCTTCGACTTTACGTTCCATAAAATTATTCCAAACGTGTGTAATCTGCGCGAGAAATAGAAATAAGAACATTTTTTTTGTAGTGATTGGTTTGGGTGTTTAGTAGTGGTTTAAGCATTTCAGTCTATGTTTTCAAAAGAAAACAAAAGCCAGTTACCTTCAGATGTTTTGGAATAAAATCGTTGTCTTGATACAAAATCAAATGCAAATGCACACCGAATGCATCGATGAGATATTGTGGATGGGGATCCCAAATGCGGCTCGATTTGTTACGGTATTGACCAGTTATACGATGCTCCGGCACTTTACCTTCGACATCTGCAAAGAATTTAGTTTTATTATTATTTAATGACATTTGATGACATCCATTTTGTGTATATTAAAATCAGTTTCCGAATTTTACGAATAAATGTCGTTTTTTTTTCTACAATTGAAAAAAGTAAAAATTTCGCGGATTTTTGTTCAAAAAATCACGTCACACGGGATACAAATGAAATTTATTTTATGCGAAACATAACAACAAATGTGTCAACGAAAGAGACATTTTTTTAAATGAAAAAAAAAAAATCTCAAAATTTTAACTGTTATTCTTTGGCAATTTGAGCGTATAAAATAACATTTTATGATTATTTTCTGGCGGCAAAGAAAAGCACATTATTTTTTGTTAGCCTCATAACAACAATTTGTGAAATATGTTTTTTCCGCTTTGGCATGCGGCCGATTTTTTAACACTTTAGATTATTTTTGTAGTCATTTGGATTTTTCGAAATTTTATTCTATCACAAAGCATGTGTGTAGCTTGTTTTTTCGCTTCTGACCTGCGCCTGGTTCGTATTTCGTTGATTCGTAGAGAAGATCATCGGCGTGCAGAGGTTGCACATGGACTTTAGATGGTTTTACGAGTTGATCCACTTCAGTTAAATCGACATCATCTGGAATCGTTTCATGAAGTTGTTTGCTCGCTGTATGATTATGATGATGCGTTGATGAAGATGTCGACGATGAGCCCACCTCAAACTCGGTTGAATTACCACCTAAGCAAAAAAAAGAAAAAAGCAAAAAAGAAACAAAAATTTATGAAGTCAACTCTCAGTTTGTTCATTGAAGATCTTGAATTAAAGACGGCTATTTTGTGTCGGCTTCGTACAAAAATACACATTTGCGAATGAAGTATAATGAATATTTTATGACTTTGAGCACATCAGCATTTCGACGATTAAAAATAGTCAATTCGCGCGTCATATCGTGTTGGAGTTACATTAATTTTTGATGGATACCGACGACCATATGAGTCTGTGCAATGGAGAGTGCGTGTGTTCGATGATCAAGACACACATAACATTTGCATAATCTCCATTCGTTACAATGATTGGTTTAATTTTTGTTTCTCTCTTCGCGTCTCTCGTCTTATTTTCAGAAACCACAAAACACTGAATTATACTATACTAATGTTTGTCATGTCAAATCTAGGCGCATACACATTTTTGTCCATTTATTTGATTTAATAAGCAATTCCGAGCGCCTCGCATCTTGGCTTAAAATATACGCAAATTTCAATTTGAAAATCAAATACGGGAGAAGAAGAAATAAATGCGATTGAATCGTATGCCGAGAGAGAGAGAGAGAGAGAGAGAGAGAGAGAGAGAGAGAGAGAGAG